TCAGTTCCGATTACGCATTATTTTGTGTGAGGGAAATGAGAGATCATGGGATATGTCATGTGATATTAATGGACGAATTACGGTTCTTTAATCGGGAAAAAATCTGGAAATTTTGTATTTGGCTTTATTCTGTGTTGTGTGAAACAGTGTTCGTGAATTTTTGGATCCCATGGCCGTAACTAAAGTGAATTCGAAATGGGTATTTATGTATGTATTAATTTAATGTATGTGCTCATTTATATTTTAAGTAGTGTTTCTTAATTTAATTATATTTTAATTAAATGATAGTTATTTTGTGAATTTTATGTTTGTAGGAATTTGGTATACGTTTTAGTTGAAGTAATGTGCATGGAAATAATTTAAATATCTGACAATAAGTATTTGTAATGGTTGCGGTATGAATTCGTTGGTGACGTGTATAATGTAATAGATGATTTAGAGGTAAAAGTTTTTGGATATTTTATTTATTTTATATGTGGAAATGTTCATATTTGTAAAGGGTAAATACTTTTTCGCGATCAGGTAATTTCATTTATGTTCTTTTACCGGGTTTAAAGATTGAGAAAATTGTCATGTATTTTCATGAAATTTTTCTAATTTATGAGAAAAAAGCAGTGTACATGGATATAGTGAAGAGTGTGCACAATGCCATTTTTGTGCAATTCTGGGATTTTTTTTAAGTAAAAATAAGTCGGCATGTACATGGTTTATGTGTATGTGTTATTTTGAAAAATGCGTAAGGAGTATGGTATTGTGCACTTTTTCCCAATTTTGCAGTGAATATTTGTCATGATTAAGCAGTTTTGTTAGACAAAATTTCTAGCATAAGTGTAATTCGGCTAGTAGATTGTTGGAAGAAGTGTTCAGTAGATAAAAAGAAAAGAAACATGTCTTTACTTCGTGAAGACAAAATGGCGGCGGGAAAAAAAAAAAATAGAGGGTTGCTGTAGGAGAGTTGGTCGCCAAAAAAACGCCAAGTTACCATAATGTAAAGATCAACCGAAATTTTTTTTTGGTACTTACGTATTAACGCAACCAGGCCAAAATTCGCATAAATCGCCAAATTTGGCGACCCTACTTATGGCAAAAATAACACTGGGCACATTTGTTAAAAGAAAAAATAACACTGGGCATGTACTATCGCAGCAATGGGTTTTTGGCTGAATTTGCCGAGAAAAGAAAGAGACTTTTTTGTTACTGTACCTAACAGAAGCGCCGTTACCCTCATGGAAAAAATTTGCAAAAATATCAAGGAAGGAAGCATCATTTATTCAGATTGCTGGAAAGGATACAATACAAGTGAGTTCGAAAATGCTGGATTTCTGCATGGAACTGTTAATCACAAATATAACTTTGTGGTTCCCAACACGGGCGTTCACACACAACATGTAGAGCGCATGTGGGCTGAGCCCAATGGCGCAACAAAAAACAGAGAGGAACCGCCCATCATCATCTTGACTCATACCTTATCAAATTTATATGGCGCCAAGCTCAAGCTGTTAATGGCGAAGACGGTTTTCAATCAGTGTAAAAGCAATAGCCAAAGATTTCCACCGAAAAAAAATTCTGCAACTTATTCAAATTCGAAACCGGAAGGGTTTTAATTGCTGTTTTATATTTTAAAACAAAATAATATAAAAAACTGTATTAAAATTATCTGTAATTAATAAATGTACATTTTGTTTCTATTCATACTTTTTTACTCAAACTTACAAATCGTGCCAACCTGGTTGCGATAATACGTAAGTACCAAATATTTTTCCCCTTTTTACCAGCTTTTTTAATGTTTTCTCATATTTTAATGGTAAGTGTGCATGTTTTTTCATCATTTTAATTTTAAAGTTTTTTTTTTTTAAATTTTTTAAAAAGGGCAAACTTCCTCACCTTCTGACCGTCTGCTCTTCTCAAACTAAATAAATGAATACACTTATTAAAAGTATTTTGAATTGTTCCTTCGAAAGAAATTATCTCATAGAAATTCTTAGCATACAGAAAAAAATTTTATTGTAACCCTGTAGATTGCTTTTGCTGAATTCCAGTGTACATGATGTATGTCTGTGCATGTTTCAGCTGATGATAATTGCAAACATGTTAATATTGTTCCAGTATCTTTGAAGAATGCTGTAAAATTTATTTTATTTATTTCTTTATTTATATTTTTTGAGTTACCTATCCTATACTTTGAAGTTAAAGTCTCAAATTTTTAACAAAGCTTTCAGTTTATTTTTTATTTATTTATTTATTAAGTACTGCACCAAAGCTTCTGGATTTTCCAGGAGTATGTGCTTTAAATATAGCCAAGAGTGAAACTCTTATATAGCTGGGAATTATGTCAGCAATTAAAAATAATAAAAAATTAAGGAAAAACATAATTGCTGTTAGAAGAATACAGCTTTCAAAGCAGAAACAGAGTACCTAAAAATGACGGAAATTACAATCTTACATTTTAGATGATGTATAAAGCCAAAAAAAGTATATATTCATGTAATTTTATTTTTTAACTCTTTTTTTGCAGATTACAAAAAAAGTTATTGTATAAATATTATATGTGTATATTAAACTAGTAAGTCTGTATATATTTAATATAAAAATATATTTCTGTCAGATTTCATAAATAAAATTTTAAAATTCTTTGATTTTTCTTAAATGCTTTTTTCTCCCAAATATGTTCATATTTTTTGGTTTGCCTAAACTTTTGTGTTATACCATCTTCTTGCCAAGTATATTTTTACTCGTCCAGTACCAAAAATCATACATACCATTTATGACAGCCATGAACGCTTTGCAGTTGGACATGGGGGAAGGCAGAAGAATCTACTTCTAATGGTACATTCACTAGAGCTCGTTTTTTGTTATTATTAGTCCAAAGGTCAATTTGCCCAGAAAGACTATTAATTTCATTTTGCATTCATTCACTATAAATGTTGATTCACTTTTAAAATTGTCACCAAATATTAGAGCCCTGTATTATATTCAAAGAAAATAAATAATGAAGAATCAGCATAAAATGTATGTATGTTTCTCACATTGTGATAAAACAATGGTACCTAGAGCCATCAAATTTTGAATAATGTAAGTTTTCACCCGAATATGGGCATATGGAAGCCCAAATTTGGAATTTATTTTATTAGCTATCTCGGTACTTTTCAAATAGTTTTTATATGCTAAGAAATTATTACTTTTATGTTGTGTGCAAGTACTCCATGATTAAGGTTTTCCTTAAAATAATTCCTTATACTTTTGATAATTTTCTGTTTCATGCATATGTGTTACTTAGCAATTGTGGAAAGTTCTGTAATTAAAATTTTAGATTTATTTATTTTATTTTTTTAATTTGTTTCAACTACCCTTTCTTGCCCCCCCCCCTTTTTGACATTTTGTATACCTGGAAAGTCTTGACAAGTGTAATTCTTAATAATCTATTTCTGTTCACTTTGCATGGATTGTAAACAAGCCACAGAATGGCAATCCATAAAAGTTTGAACTCGTGATAAAAAGGTGCAGAGCAGATAAATTCCTTATACACGTTTATTTACTCTATGTAAATTAAAAATTAAAAATGCATTTTTTAAGACAGCAGAAAAATTTTCAGATTCTTGATCTATGTATAACAACAGTAATAATGTGGGAAGGCTACCATGTATGCAGTGAAAGCTAAGTAACTTTATGAATTATTTGAAATATTTTCAACTAAATCACATGTACAGTATATTTTGAAAAAAAATTCATTGCACATATAAAATCTGGGCATAATTTTATTGCCATGTTTGTTTCAAAAATCTGTATGGATTGCAGACATTTGCAAATTATTAAAATTCTTCTGTATTTATATGTAGCTGCTTATCATGAATTTAATTTATTAATATTCTTACCATTTTATATTTCATTTTATTTTTATTATAATTTATTTATTTTTCAACATTCCTGGTATCCTTCTGTAGGTTCTGACATTTCACATTTTGAAAATTAAGTAGTTATACAATCATACCTCAAAATAAATAAAAGCCTTTTGAATATAAATGAAACTTCATAGATTGCTTTTACATGTACCAAAAAATATTTTAGGTACTTTTCCGTTTCGCCGGCGCAAATCTCGCCAAGCAGACTTTATTGGTGACAACACACATATACAAAATGTTGACAAATGTTAGTTCTAAGAATTTTTTGTTATGAAAGATATAAACATTTTAATGTCATTTAAAATTTTGTAAAAATGCCAATAAATAAAGAAAATGAATATGCTTTCATGGTACAACATGCTGATTCGCCGGTTCATATTACATGACCCCAAGTGATCTCATCTCAAGTAAACTACACTACAAAAATTTAATTCTCGCAGTAATTATCTACATTAATTTCAAGTTAAATTTTTCTGTAATAAAAGTTTAAATGCAAGAATTATTTCAATTTGTACGAATAGCTTACTCAGAAATTATGTAAAACTGCAGTGCTTTACTTCGCTAGTGCATTCTCATTAGAATTGATGAATTTAACTCATGACTTTGCCTTTTCTATATTTTGGCCATTGGGTGAGCGGTGTGATTGCATCTTAATTGACTTAATTACCGCCTGCGAATGGCCGTAGGGCTTAAAATTGAACTATCTGGGTAAAAATTCTATGTAACTGTGTGCCAGTATTGAAAGAAACAATCAATCTGATAAAAATGGCTGCAACTTGTTTTGAAAATGAGGAGTAAAAGGTTACCTGCGAGGATATTCCGTTGTACCATTATTGGCGACTTTATCGCCTGTGCCGGCAAAACGGAAAAGTACCATATTAAGTTTTATAAGATGTCAATGTAATAAAATTAGTTTTGGAATATTCTGTATATATATTTAATGAAATTATTAATTGTAGGAATGTTAGTACTTTTTTGTTACAGCAGCTACTGGCTACTGAGCAGGGTGTCTGCTTTAACAAGGAAGGACCAACATGTCTTGTGAAATTTAGTATTTGATTATCATCAAACAAAATTTCATGATTAATTTTGATTTTTCAGTTGAGATCTCGGTTTGATCGCAGAGAGCGTCGTATGTGTTTAATGAGAAAAAGGTACTCTAAATCTGACGAGGAAAGTGCAGATAACATATCAGATGTAGGAAGTGCTGTGTCTGATGCAAATGTTGCAGCATCTTCGGCTTCTGTTTCTAATGAACGTACAAATTCACCTTCATCAGTTAATCTTGTCACGAGATATTTTGGTAGAAAGTCTAAAACCATTCCATCAAGGGCTCTGAAACGGTAATTCATAAATCTTGATATTTTCAGAAGTTATTCAGATTTGCAATTTGGGTGTTTTTAAAAGTTTGGCAGTTTATTATTATTTGCAAAAATTTATATTGTTCTGGAATATGTAATTAGTGTAATGGATTGTATTGATTATAACTTTAGTACTAGCAATCAGGATAACATTTTGCAACTTGAGGATGTTATGCTGTAGCTGTAAAATTCTTTTTGCACATAGTGCAAAATTAACAAGCAACTAAGTTTCAAAGAATGATAAAAGAAAAACTTTCATTTATGGTTATAGTATTTGCTCAAATGTGTGCTGCCTCTTTTCTCGCATTTATGTGAAATATTTGTTTTAGTTTTTCTTAAAACTTTGAATTATAAATGACTGCAGATGTAAATGTATTGATTGAAATCTTTAAGGAAAAGTAAAAAAATAACTGACTAAAATTGTCAGATATATTTAGCCTTTAAAAAACTACACTTTATTAATGTATTGAACAGATAGGGTTCAATTAAATTGACTCATCTCTAAGCCTTCTAATGGTAAAACTGAAATATACATACCTTCAGATAATAATTTGCTATACTTGAAATTTTTTCATATGAATTTTCTTCTCTTCGCCGTTTTCATTTTCCCATTCCTTTTTTATTATAAAACCCCATATATTTGGCACAACTTATATTGTCATTCTATTTCATCATGGTTCCTTGCTTGGCCTTAAAATGAAATATTCAATTATTTTGAATGGTATTAATAAAAGAAAATAATTAGAAATGTGTGGATATGTGTTATAGATAAACATATTTTTTATTATGTTTTAAAAAAGTATGTATTCTGATGATCAAAAAATTATATTGAAAGTTTTGAGTATCCGTCATACAAACGTTTTTAAATCTTCTTGTGGAATAATAAAGTACAGCCCTAATGTGATGTACACATAATTGGATTGAATGTAGGAGTGTAATGTACACTAAGATAACAGTTCAGAGAGCAAGAAGGCTTGGCTTAAAAATATAGTACAACTTAGAACATTGATGACTGGAGAATTAGAAAAAGAATCTTCAGAATGAGAGTGTGACTTCATAATGCCAGTCATAAAAAGTGATCATAAATTATTAGAAAAACAGAAAATGTTTTTTTGTAATTTTTTTAGAAAAAAAGACCTTTTATGTGGAATATTTGTATGCTTTCCTTTATCATGATTATCATTTCCCTATCCTTTAGCACTTTAAGCATCAAGCCTGTTCTGTCTTCCTGTATGTTGATTTCACCTGTATGCTGGCAGCTAGTGATCTGTATAGAATTTGATACAAGAATATAATTTTTCAAATTGTGTCAACATTGACTAGTGTAGTCCAAATGGAAAGTATACTATTGGTCATCGGTGACTGATGCAGTCCAACCGGAAAATATATAAATAACTGTCAAGTCACATGTCACTTAACATGTTAGCAGTCACTACTGATCCTTTAGGGTTGTCATGGCTATAGTTGTAGGATCTCTTATCAAAATTTATTTCCACTGATATTAATGTGTGGAATTTCTATAATGAGTCTCAATGCTCTAGTTTAGCAAATCTTAAATGAATAAAGTAATTAATGTCTACATAGGCAAGAAGTAAAATATATGAAACTGTTTGTTTCACTGTATTGTACTTTTATATATTAGCACTTAAGGGTGCTTTTTTATTTATTTTTTTTTTAATTGTTCTATAGGCTGGTTCTCTTACATTTTAACTTTTTACACGTCAACAAGTAATGTTATGTGCAATTTAATTATTGGTGACTTAATATCTTTATAAGCTAATGGTAATTTCACATTATGCACTCTGGGTCTTCAAAACATCAATTAAGCATTAAGACACCTGTACAATTTTTTATTTGAATCTTTATATCATATTTTTAAGTAAATACTGTAAAATAGTGTACTTAGAAAAGAATTTATTGAGTTCATGAATTAAATTCTGAGTTTAATCTTTTCCTTTCTTTGTTATAGGCGTTATTTAGGACCACCTAAATCACTTCCATTAAAAAAATCAATACTGAAGAGTGTGTCATCTGCCACATCTATTTCATCTGCATCAGAAACACATGATGAAGAACTGAGTATAAAACAAGAAATTTTAAATATGACCAAGTTACCAGTTGCACGAGAAAAAACAATCGAACCAGATGTAAAAAAAATTCATAAAAGACATGACCATAGGCCCAAAGGAGTTTTAAGAGGAGATTTTCTTACGACCAACAAAGCCTATTTTCTGCCGGACAATCAGGCGTCTTCAAATTCTCTTTCTTCCTCTGAAACAAATATAGATGGTATTTTATATTTTTCATATAAATATAGCTTGCCTGTTTTACATATTTTATATTTTAACCATAGTGCAAAAGCTGCGTTTGTCTCGAAAATAGTCATTTGTCTCAAAAACCGCGACACAGTTAGTTATTTTAGAATGCACTCGTGTTATAAAGTACACGTGAGGTCAGACTACGTACGCGCGCTGCATCGCGGTTTTCTGGACAAATGAATGCAGAGCTTTTGCGCCGCATAGCAGTCAAGCGGTTAAAAAAAAACATAGCGTACAGAACCTGAAGTAAAGTTTTTTTTCCTACACCCATCTTTTTTACCACCTTCTGCCCTGGTTTGTGAGTATTTATAGTTGAAAGAGTTTTGATGTATCTAAAAATTCTTTTACTGGGTTTTTTATGAGTAGTCATATTTTTGCAAGACATTTTTAGTTACTATTGAATTTAATGCTGTCTTGAAAGTTTATTATCTGACACTTCTGTTTTTGATATTCAAACAATATTTGCTATAAAATGTTTCCAATTATTTAAAATTATTAAAAGGGGAATTTTCTAATTAATCGAAATTCCAAGGAAAGTATGTTTTTATTAATCGGAATAAGAGTCAAATATGTTGTAACATTTACATTAATAATCCTATTAATGTATATTATTTTCATATTGCAGTTATGGATAAATAATCTTTGTTTAAAATTTTGATAACTTTAAAAAAAGATACTTCAAGTAATGTAGAAAACAAAGAGGCCTTCCTTCCACCCCCACCCCTTTTTTTTCTCTCTTTTTCCACTTTTTTTTGTAATGAGATTGGCAATTTTTTTCTAAAAATGCAGAAAATTTTCCCATTATAATAGTTGAAAAAAAAATTTTTTTTTCATTATCATACTTTTTTTCCATGTAAAATTAACCTTGTTTTGAATTTAATTTTGTCTTTTTTATTTATATATTATTTTTGATTTTTAATTACATGAAAAATTAATAATACATAACTCAGCATATTATTGAAGATATTGAATTATTTCATATGGAGTGTGCACATTATATTCTTTGACTACAGTTTTTAACAAATAATCCCCTAAAACAGTGATTGAAAAGCAAATGAATACTCTGTATAAATCTGTTGATAATGAGAGCTCTTTTTTCTTAATAATGCAAGCTTGGTCACATGTCAATTTCTTCTCTTAAAATTTGTATGTGCAGTATACAGTAAAACTGAATCAGCTTGTTCAGGCCTTTTGATGCATATTGCATTGTTTCCTGCAGCTTAAATTTTAGAAGTTTTACTACTACTGAGTTAGACTACTGAGTTTGAAATATAATATTTTTCATTGTCAATTGCATTGTATTTTGTTTCCTATGTAAAAATTACTAGGTTAGTAAAACTGAGATGACACTTTTAAAATAGCAACATATATTTTTCAGACCTTTTTGCTACAAATTAGTAAATGCAACTGTTTTTTTAAAACAGAAAAGAAAATGGAGATGTCAGGCATATGTACGTGCTGTCCTCTTAAAAGGTGAATGCATTCCCATTTTTTGAGTGGGTGGCTACACACTCAAAACATAAACTTGCATCAAAACAAATCAGAGGCATAGAACAAAGAGAAATACTTAATACTTTAATCACATAACTTGAAAACAAAATTAATACTGTTGAATAATAATACAAATAATACAACAGTACAACAAAATAAATCATAATAACTCATATATAAATTACATTATTCATTGTTTCACATTTTTCCCACAACTGATGGCAAAAGGAATTTGATCATCTTGAATATTATCTATTACAATATCTAATTCCAGTCTAAATAATTGTAGTGATCTTAAGAATCCAGAATTACTGTTTTTACAAAAGCAATTCTTATGTTGTCATCTCAACAAGGGATCACCCGAATCATGCATGCTAAATTCTAATATGCACAATCTTTATTCTGATCCTCCAGCAATAAATTTTTCCTATAGAATTACTAGGGGGGGGGGTTATTTTTGTAATTTTTAACAGACTGCTGTCTTAATTGTCATAGATGCTCAGAGCAGAATCTCACTCTTAACAGTTCTTTTTGTGCACTTAGTAATTTGACTACTGGATGATGAGAAACTAGAGTCGGATAAGACAAGAACTAGTTGCTAGAGTTGATCTGTTTCACCATTAAATGACTCTCTTTGTATTAATAAAATTAAAACTGTGTCTCTCTTTTCTATTTCAGATATAGTCAAATTTTTAGATTGGCTGTTGTTATTATCCTTACGTACATTATTGTAAAATCTGATTATTTATGCTAACATTCTTACAAATTTTTTAAATGATAAGAAATACTTGTCATACCAGCCAATAGAATTATTATTCTTTGCCAACATAACAGTAACTATTTTAAGTATTTCCGAATTAATGAGACTTTCTCTGGTTTGTCATTAGATTTAGGCCAGTTTGCCTCATCTTCCAGTTACCAAACAGGTCCCTCCTACCATTTTCGTTTCTACTAATTGATCTGCACAACAGCCTCTAGAAAGTACATCAGCAGGAGTGAGACTACATGGAACATGATGCTGTGTACTGAGGGAGGTCTGAAGACCTGATTTCCAATACATGATCAAAAATAAATGCTTCCCAATGCGATACCCAACACAAAGCCATCGAGAAGTCAGTCCAATAGTAAATATGAACTTCATGTAGGCCAGTGTCATTAATAACCGAATAACATAGCACCAATGTTGGAAGCAAGAGCAAGCAGTCATAATGCATCATTCTTAATCTTGTGTGTACCAAATTTTTCTTCTTGAGACTCTCTACTCTTTAAAAGATGCTTGCAGTATACACATTTTTATTCCAAAAGAGATGTATACTTACTTATAGTTTCATTAATAGATTTCAGAATTACCCATCTAGCTATTTGGATGAGACATGACAGTATATACTGGGGGAGGTCAAAGACCTGATTACCCCTACACGATCGAAAATAAATGCTTCCCAATGCCATATCCAACACATAACCATCGAAAACTTCATGCAGGCCAATGTCATTAATAATTGAAGACAATAACCTAGCACCTATGCTGCAAGCAAGGAGTCTTAGTGTATTTTAAAGGCACCACTCTTGGTCTTGTTGTGCTTTATCAAGTTTATCAATTTCTGACTTTCGACTCTTAAAAAGATTCATGCACCATACGCATTTATATCACAACAGAGATGTATACTTATACTTTCATTAATAGATTTCAGAACTACTCATCTAGCTATTTGGATATGCCATTGACTTTCTAGCCAAGGCCATATCAAAAGACCAGGATCAAAGTAGATATTGTTATAGGTAAAAAAATGGCAGAAATAACAAGGTGTAATAATAGAAATATTGCATCTTCTGCATAATAATTATAAAAGTAGTCCTATCTGGTAATCTTTATAGTGTAAACATTTTTATAAATTTAATTTATGTAAATAATCTTTGGTGGAAATTTTTTAGTGCCTTCTTGGAAATACAAACCTGTGACAAGTTTCTATCAGATGGAAGGAACAGAGGTATGTTGGCATATTCAAAATATTTTATTAAAATATGTAGTTTTTGAGAACTAAAATTATTATTACTGCATTATGTTATTTTTGTGATTATATTACCAAATACTTTAATTCATAAGACAAAAATTGTTTATTTTTGATGCATAAAGTATATAATATAGCAATAAATATAATGATGAGTATATAATATAACAACAGATGATGACTGTAAAAAAATATATATAACTTTTTCCAAATCTGCTAAGTTGGGTTTTTAGTGTGAAAGACATAAGCATTGACAAATTCAGTAGGAAAATCTTCATGGAGAATTTTATGAAGGAAACATGTTATGTGGGAGAAGGTAAAGAAAATTTATCTGGGTATCAGTATAGCCTTCTGCCAAATCTTGCAGATATAGCTTTAACAATGAGGATGACATGCATTAGATAGTCAAAATTTAACATACGATTTATGCATATAACCAGGTTTATTACCAAAAACATTTGTCATCTTTCAGTTGGCTAAAAAATTTGCAACATTAAGTGAAATAGAATAATTTTTTCCATGAGAAATTATTTATAAACACTCAAAAATGTGTCTTAAAGATATGTAATTTTTATTTGCAGTTAATAGCTTTTGATCTTTTAGGATTATTTTTAACTTTTGTTCTATCTGTCTTATGTAAAGGAATGTTTTTTATATTGGAACTGATCATATTGTTTTCCAAAGTGGATACATTAAAATTTGTGTTTCCTTTATGTGTAATATCTTGTATATAATTATTACCAGTTGTAATTTTATATGTTTTGAAAATTATTTAAGTACAGATGTTTGCAAATTACATATGTACTACATAATTTTTGCTAAAAATCTATTTTTCTTATGCATTGTAGAATATAAATGACTCTGTTTTTCATCGAAGACATCTGAAATGTGAACAGGATGAGCGCAGACGAAAGAGGTTAGTTTTTCTTTTGTAATTAACATGCATAAAATTTTAATCCCCCCCCCCAAAAAAAGAGGAGTCAATGAAGAAACGAGTTACCTGATTCTAGTGTAATTTCATACAAACTTATTATTCATACATAAGTTATTTACTTTATGACTCAGCGTGCAAATGATTAAATTTTGGCAGCCAAGGATTGCATAACTAGGGCTAGAGAGCATCACATTTTAGCATTTGGATGGAGTTTAAAGATGTAGAATTTCTATTCTAGGTCATAACTTCCATTAAAAATTGATATCTCCTGCTCACTTCAGTCATGCTAGCATATCTCACTAATTGAGAGAGAACTGCTCACTTCAGTCATGCTAGCATATCACACTAATTGAGAGAGAACATGCAGTTAGCCTAAAAGAAGCAATGAAGCCATATCAAAGGATCGCTTGCCATTTCATTTGGAGTGTTGCTGCCATTTGACAGTATTGGCAGGAATGGTTGAACCATGGCAGAGCACAGTGTAAAGAAGACTGAGTCGATGTAGAGATATGACAGAAGGTGAGAACAGAGTGGTTGTTTTTGCTGTTCTTGCAGCTATTATTTCATCATTATTAACTATTCAACATGTAACTGGATACAATTGATAGATGAAATTGAGAATGAGATCTGTGCTCATGACACCCATTATTGCACCAACTGCTGCACCTGTGCTCACCTACGAATGCATTTTCAGTGCTGCGAATCTCATTTGACCTAGAATGTCGGTGACAAAGAGTCCGACTTCGAATTGAGCCATATAAAAACCCTTATTACATACAATATTTGTTGCTGGAACAAAACATTTGCAGCAACAGTTCTGAGAAATGCCCTTTGGCACATAAAATTCAATTGAACAGCAATATCATGAAATATTTAAAAACAACATGTCGTTAGAATTTCTGATAGACAGTCTCTCACACTGGAGATAAAAATTTTCCATACAGTGTTGCCATTGCTCGCTTTGAAATCGTTGAGATTGTAAATCAAAAATTCGAGATAAAAATTTTCCATACAGTGTTGCCATTGCTCGCTTTGAAATCGTTGAGATTGTAAATCAAAAATTCGTTATAGTTTTGCAGAATAAGAATTCGGTCTTCCATGTGCCCATGTTCGGTTGGATGTATATATATTCAAAATTTGGATAGCCTTAGATATCATCATTTTTTCACAGTGTGAAAAACATACATAGATTCATGCAGATTCTTGATTATTTAATTTCTTTAACTATAATACTGGCCGATAATATTTGGTGGAACAATTTAAATTTAACAATTTAAAATACACTGTTTATAGTGAACCAATGCAACACTTTGTAGAATATGTTTAATTTTCACTATGTAAACGTTCATGTCCTTTGTTTTGAAAATGTGTTATATGTCATCATCATTGATAACTGAGTGTTTGAGCCTTTAAGTAGTAATATTTTGTGATGTAATTTAAATTCAGAAATTTAATGTGTGAATTCAGCAAAAGTTTTTTCCCCCTACCTCCTCAGATGGGACATGCAGAGGTTACGAGAGCAAAAAGCTAGTGAGAAACTTAAGTACAAGCAGACTAGAGATGCTGACAAAGAATCTGAAAACCATGTACAGCGAAAATCTCAGTCATTTTATCCTAACCCACGTCACAGTAAGTGTTTATGGATTTTTTGTATGTGATATTTTTGTTCAAACTGTATATCAGCATTTGAATTTTTTACACATTTGCTATCCATTTATATTCAGTGTAGAGAAACCTTTACATATGTAAACAATGGAAATGACATCTTTATATCTGTCTAAATTTAGTATAGCTCTGTTTACTTGTATCTGATGCGAAACATTTTTTCTAGCATTTTAATTTCCAAATTAATACCTCCTGTTGTTTAATAATAATTGTGTTCCTTTTTTAAACCTGATACTCAGGAAAGTGTCTGACCTAGTTTTATGATGTATGGATTCTCGATCCTGTCGACAGTAAAAGATGGCAGAAATCCCTCAAAAATTGCACCAATCATTCCTGCGGAAATTCTGAGCCACAGTTCTGCCTGCAACTCTTACCACATAATGTTTGTCAGTCTCTCTGCATAATCCACCAACCAGTCAGTGCTGCAAAAGTATTTGACCCACTTCGTAAAAAGGCTTTTATGGATTTCTGCTATTTTTTCAGGCCCTTCGATTTTATCAGAAGGTCTGTATAGAAGATAGCTCTGTTTAGATCTTTTCTATCAGAAGCTCTTATGAATACAAACTTCCTGCAGGTGATTTTCCATTCCACTGCTTTTTTATCAGCAATATCCAACTGTTCTTTTTTCTTGTTCAATAAATGTTAATTCTCTTGACCATAAATGAATTGGAGTACAGTCTCAAACACAATTCTGCAGCCTTCAAACCAGTTTTTTTTTTTTTTTTTTTTTTTTTTTTTTTAATATATATATATATGTAGAGAGAGAGAGAGAGCCCAAAAATACAGCAATGACAATTGATTTTTATTCTTGTTCAAAAAAATGAAAGGTGACTTATCAAGAATCAATTAGAGTTACATCAGATGAAAGCAGGGATGTTACGAATGTTTCGTGATGTCACTAAAAGTCGTTACTTGGTGACAGTTTAACGGTTGACTGGATAATACATAAGTACCAAATTCTTAGAGTACACTAAGTTTTTCTTTTATTTATACTGCATTTAACAATTTTCTTATTCATTTTTCTTGATCAAATAAAAAAAAAATGATTGCTAAAACTTTTGGTATTTCAGCCATCATGTGGAGGGTTACAAGACTGAATCATTTCAGTTTTAGTTTCAGGCATATTTTAACATTTAATTTCCCAAAAAAAAAAAATTAATCAGCAAACTTCATTTGATTTTTTGAAACCTTGACATTCATGCTACTGATGTTATTCATCTCAGGAAAAGAAAATTTTTACTTCTTAAATGTCCAGGTGAAGTAAAGATTAGAGAATTCAGGAAGAATATTTAACCTTCAAGTGATTCATATTCGAATTATTCAGATGTGGAAATGTTCAGATGGGTGTTGATTATATTATTGTAAGGGACAAATTAGATGCAAAATTTTAGCGTCTAGCTATGGTTATTTATGCATTCTGTTATACTGTGAATAAACAGAATATGGTGGATGCAAAGTTTATGGCTCTTTCTTGCGTAATCATGACAAAATCATTTTTGTAATCATTAAGTAGAAAGCTTTGGTTTACATTTTAGTTTAGTATTTATACTGGTGCGCTCATGAGTGCCCTTTTTAGCTTACAAGCTTTCAGGCCTCACTAGCAACTTGTCTGCAAGTCTTAAAATTTGAATACTGAACTAATTTAGCAGATTGATTTCTATGAGGTGCTATTAGTGTTCGATTTTTATCCTATTAATAAAGACAGCATGTTGACACAAAAGGCTTATGAAAGTGTTGTCGCAAAGTTGATTGCCTACTGTAGAAGGATTTTGAATAAAAGGTTGCAGTTTATTGAAAGGTATTTCAAGAGTACTAAGGTGTGGGGCATAAAACCTAGTGTCATCTACATCTGCATATTCCTTCCTACTTTGTTCGTCAAACTAATCTGATAGTCCACCTGCAACCTCACTACCATCCCTTCTGTAATGAGTCATGCTGGTTTTACATTAGATTACTGTAAAAATGGTTAATATACATTATCAGATATTAGTGACATAAAACAGTCATACACAGTTAGAAATCTTTTTTAAAGTGGTGTGCAGTTATTCAGTGTTATTTTTGTATTACCCTTCATGGCCTTAAATGGAAAATTTGATGTTTTTAAAATATATTTTGTTAATTTATGTAAATAATAAATTTCTCTTGCTTTTCTAAAACTGGAATTTGCTGACATGGATTTAAATTACGTTAGGTTGTCTAGAAAATTCTGAGTGTTTTCAACATGGTTATTTTGAAGCATCCTTGGACAAAATTAGAGAATAGGTAGTCAGTGTTATGAAAAACAGTTTCTAAAGATATTTGGTGGCTATATATATATACACACTATGATGTTTGACAAAAACACTAAGACTGCTACTGTTATTCTTTTAATAAAAATGACAAAAATATGTTGTACATGTGAAATTTAAATTGTCTTCCTCCACTTGTTAATTCACACATTTAAAATATTCCTCCAAAATGCTAATTCACACTCAAAATGGCAGTCGTAAAAACAGACAGAAATTTCAGATGATTAAATTTAAGGACCTTCTACTGATTTTGGTCAAAATTAAGGACTTTTAAGGACCAAAAATCGATTTCAAAAAATTTAAGGACCATACGAACCCTGTCTCAAGGGAAGGTTGATAATCGAAGACTTCCTCGGCATACCTGCGAGCAGCTCAGCCCTCTTGCCATTGCTGTGCTCAGCAGAGATGTAATAAAAATTGAAACACAGTTTTTTTTATATATAATATATATATATATCTGCATCCCATCCAGTAAGGCCTCTTGATGGCCACAAAAACTCAACTCCCACTGATGATGCTGTGGAGGACATAGTGAGTTTTGAACTACTACTAAAAGCAAGAAATAATATTCTGTGCATGAGAAATAAATGAGGAGGCATCCCAAGACAATATGAGCATTAAATGATAATGCTTCTTCAGGTAGATGAACAAAACTTTCTAGAGAGAATACACAGTTGTGTCCTCAAGAAGGCATTTCTTTATGAATGATGGTGTGGCCCAGTTATTGAATAAGAAATAATTATTTTTTATTTCAAGTATTTTATATTTTTTCATTTGTTTAATTATTTCATAAAACTAACTTTAACATTTCGTTAATATTTATATTTCTTTTATGCTGAATGGCAACGAGTTTTGATTCATGTTTATTTTGGTTTTTGAAAGCATCTCATTTTGATCTACAGAGCTAGTGCTATGCAATCTCTGTGTATCCTAAATTCTGCTGCCTAGTGCCTATTTAAATTCTGCTTCCAATGCCTGCTGTAAATTCTAAAAAATTTGCCATTTCTAGATTTTGTTGTTCACTAAATTGTAAAAATTCTGCCACACCTGCTCTGTAACTGGCCTTTACCATATATATTTCATATTTCTTCTGAATGTTCATATTACTAAAAAATTAAATTAGCCGCTTTTTCTGTACATTCTAAATGCATTTAGTGCTTTTTAGAATAACAGAAATCCTTAATTAAATCCAAAAATTCTAAAATTAAAAGGAAACACGTTGAAGAATGAAACCGAATACATAAAGAAAATTATTCTTCAAAGATATGTGCAGTTATTATTATGTAAATTACTCAATTTTTTATCATTTCAGCCTTTACTATAATTTCCCATTTCTATTTCCTCATATGATAGAGTTACTAAGCCAGATTAAATTAAAATTAAATTGTATTATTTTTTACCACTATTCCACATTTTTAGTTTGAATTTGACTGTTCTTGTTTAATTACGTCACCGTGAGCTGTAAATGACTTTGTTAGCATCAATCAGAACATGCCTTTGTGTTCTAAGTTCTTTTTCTGATACTGTAGTTTACTTTCAGATACAGTGATAATTTGCTTCACGTCTATCGGGGGAGGGACTATTTAACTGTTACCAGATCAAGTAAAACCTCATAGGTACATTGTGGAGAAGTTGACAAGTTAGGAGATAAAGCACACAGAAACTAACAAGAACATTGGTTTGCATATTGAGACAAATTTCCAATTATTGTCAGAAAAGATCGATAATTAAAGAGAAGAAAATCGATATAAACTAGCCAAAATGTTTGGGAAGGCTTGTAGAGACATTAGGTATTTTTGAAAGCAGGAAAGATAAAAAATTAACAATACCTTCGCCGGGAATCGAACCGTGGACCTCTGGAATACCGCTACCAGTGTGCAAACTACTACACCACGAAGGGTTGACAAGAAGGTGGGAAAAATACCTTATATACTTCCCCTTATAAACGGCAACTGGGTTTTTTAGGGAATCCAATCGCCAAATCCTTTGTGTGGAGAACCCATCAAGTAACCATCAACATCATCAAGTAAAACTTATTCTTTGCATCTACTGAGACTTATATGTAAAACAACTTATCACCTTTGTCGCTTTAATGGCTTATTGGAACCTTAATGTATATTAACTGGGTTATAACCCCTGGAACTGTACACAAAGCTATGACATTAACTGCATTAAGCAGAGCTTGACTAACTTCAACACTTGCCAACTGTGCCTACATCAGGCCTTTCAGGTTTGTTCCAATCAGCAGGTCTCTCTATATACAAGCAGCAGAGGGACAACATTCAGTCTTTTGTTATGAATCATGCTGTATTATTATGATCTCACTTCTCATTTTAACCTATGCTGTTTGACATAAAATCTCCCTACTATTTGCTAAACCTCTAGATTGACCAAGTATGTGACAAAATTAGACATTAAAAAAAAAGCATAAAGCTAACTATTAGTAAAGTGTAAATTATTTAATGCTACTTGATAAACTGCATGAAATTTATTTCATTCTCAAACTTATTAATAATTATGTTAGTTCATTCATGTTTAGTAATAATGCATACTACTTAGGGATCTATTTTATTTTTAGGATGGTATTACACAAGTGAAATTCAGGCATAGAAAAATATTTTTAATTGAATTTATTCAGTTTCCATTTGCTCATAGGTCCTTAATTTTTTTCATTAATAGTCCTTAAAAGTACTTAATTTCCGTGTGCAGAAATGTGTACGAACCCTGTTGAGAAGAGGAAGGGGAGGGCCTAGTGAACTAACACACACGGTATGCCGAGGAAGTCTTCGATTATCAACCTTGCCTTGAGTTTCCATTTGCTCAGTTTCCATTTGCTCATAGGTCCTTAATTTTTTTCATTAATAGTCCTTAAAAGTACTTAATTTCCGTGTGCAGAAATGTGTATGAACCCTGTTGAGAAGAGGAAGGGGAGGGCCTAGTGAACTAACACACACGGTATGCCGAGGAAGTCTTCGATTATCAACCTTGCCTTGAGAAGAGGAAGGGGCGGACCTAGTGAACTAACACACACGGTCTGCAGGAGGGTAACACACTCCTCCATCACGAAAGAACTTTGTGACAGAGTATGCATAACCTTTCCAGAGCGATTAATGCGGTATATTCGACTCTGATTGTGGCTTATGGTGTGTTTTGAAAAATTATGATCACAGTCTGCTGCAGTCGTGTCCTCAGATTGTAGATTGTATAGGTGAGTCAGTGCTTTGAATGTGCAAATAGCTGTGAATTTCAGAAGACATATTTCTTATTTATTCTGCCCTTTATAGTGAATGATAGTAAAATTAAGGCATAAACTGAATTCATGACCAAATTAAGCACAAAAACCAAGATCAGCAGTAAGAACAATAGCATAGGTGCTGAATGCGTTTTTCTAAACTGGTTTAAAAATTTTGTGAAACTTGGATACATCTTTGATTATGATATTTGAGTCCCATGCAGACTGTTAGAGAATCATATTTTAACATTATTTTGTCTTGTTTTGCTACTGAAGGGGGATGAAATAGACTGCTTTTTGAAGTAAACTGGTGATGATTAAAAAAAAAAAAAAAAAAAAAAAAGATTTTGGATTACAGTAAGGTAGCAAGTCAGCAAAAAATTACAGCAAACTTAAATATTCATTCTTAGAAGTTCATGTTGTATGATGATAAGATTTCAAGGGCAGTTTGTATTGTGCATGGCTCCTATCAAATCAAAAAATAAATTCTGTGTACTACATTCTGTGTACTACAACTGTGTACTACAGTTGGAGAAATTGTATTAAAACATCCAGCAGAAACCTGAGCTAGTGAATCGGATGGCTACAGTTGTGACGAACCTGCATTTATCCATGGCGGCCCGTAGAGCAATCACAAAACATCCGATGGTTCAGTTTTCTAATGCTATTTATTATTCGTTATATTTACATATTTACAACTGTCCTATTGTTAGGTGGACTACCTTCACAGAAATCATGTTGCCTAATCAAACAACATTTCGTTTCTACTTACATGCATTACGCTACTGCCAAGCAGCGCCCTCTACTTCTCTCTTTACAACAACAGTATTTCATGAAAGCAATGCAAGGCTGAACTGTCTTGGTCACTTATTGAAAGTTGAATGAATTTGGTTGGGATGTCTAACTTTATCCAGTATATTCACTAGATATCATGCCACCTGATCACCACTTGTTCAGATCTCTGTAGACCTCTCAGTAAAAAAGTCGAATTCTACACCGACAGCATTTTAACCCTTTTGCAACGAGTTTTTTTTTTTTTTTTATTATTATTTATTTATTTATTTTTTACAATAGAACAATTGTGATAATATGAACTATGAGTAGGGCACACTAGAATGCTAAAAACTAAGATGTTCTATTTTTTGAAAAATTTTGAACACTGATTTAGGACCGGGACATATAATGTCCCATCAGTCCTGACCGCTGGGACATATGTGTCCCAGTAGTCTTCAATGAGTAATTTTGTAAAGAAAACCAATGATTTTCTAGTCATAAAAATTTAATTATGAATGGTATAGTTTGAAACAATCAATGCACAATGCGACATTACACATCGTGCACATTATTTTAGTGTGTGATTCCTTCTTTTGTTGTGCACATTTACGGCACCGCCGTCACGGTTTTGTTGTTACTGGCAGATGGTCTCCAACATTGACTAAGCTTCGTGATGTTTTGGATGTGCGTCCAGTTCCTCTGTGGCATTGATACCATGCGTTGAGCTTTCCGGACACCATCAAGGCTTCTGCAAGAAGTGTGGTTTTACTATGTTTGAGTTCACAGTACGCAATCCATGAGTTGACCACTGCGCTCATCAATAGGCGAAAAAATACTTTTTTTTCCACCACTTGCAAGATTTTCAATCTAATTCATAGACATTTGCCATTTGATCTGCAAGGTCTAAACCTCCCATGATTTTGTTGTAGAATTCGATTGCCACAGGGCACTCAAATTCTTCTTTGCTTCCATCTTTCATGGTGCGATTTGCTTTTGTGTATTTAGCTTCGTGGCAATTGCTTAGCATCATCAATTCCTCTGAATCAAGCCACCTCGCATACAATGTTCCATTTTTAGTTACGAGAAACTCAGCCTCACTCCTTTTGCTTAGTTTTGTTGCAAAATTAGGAACATCTTTGCGTGTCTTGATGCACCAACAGCAGGAAATTTCAGGGTTTCCATCAGGTGCATGCTTGTAAAAAATCGGTCAAACGCAAGCATCACGTCTTTACCTCGGATCGTCTCCGTTAGCTTTGATACTACCCATTCCCCGAGTGTGCCTTAAACTTCGCCCGTTTCTTTTCTGGAATAAATGTTCATGTCATATAAATATCGTGTTTTTGAATCACATTGCTGCCAAATTTTTATCCCTCTTTTCACAGGTTTCATCAGCATATATTGTTTGAGGGATGAACGTCCCTTGAATTTCGCCATTGATTCATCAATAGCTTGATATGAGCTGTCGCTTCGGCACTGTTTGAAGGTTTGTTTCAGGCACGAAACAACCTTGTCAATATAATATGTTTTACTTGCATTTTTTGGCTTTTCTGGTGCAGCAAAATATAGTTTCGACAGCAACATTTTACATCTGTCTCTTGAAGTAGAATTTTTTATTGCTACGTTTCCCAAAGAAGGATTAGATGACCAATAATGAGAGAATTTTGGCACCCTATTTTAAGATATGACAAGCATACATCCAAGGACAGGCATAATTTCAGAGGGATTGTTTGTCCTAACTTTTCGACTCGTTGGTTTGTGCATTGAGAGATCCAAATCATAAGACTTTTTGGAAATATCTTGAGAAACACGTCCAATTCAGTAGCTGAACGATTTAAGTTGAATAACAAACTGGGCGATGACTCTGCTGGAATTGTCATTCGAGATTGGAAAGTTGAATCTGCATGAAACCATAAGATTGGTTTGTAGCCTGAAACATTAGCTGATGGTATCTCTGATGAAAGTGATGCCGTATCAGTATCACTCAAAGCATCGTTGTTCTTTGTATTTTGGGAAATGGTATCATGATCGATATCCATTTCACGCTCGTCTGAATCGAATGAGCACTGCAAATTGTGTGTTAGATCTTGAAAATTGGGATCATCTATTTCATCATCTGACTCTTCTAAAATTTTGATTTCTTCATTAGTAAGTCCCCGGCGTTGAGTCATTTTAGATTGAATTAATATGTGCCTAAATTTAAAATAATAAGCAACTATTTCAAAAGTAACCGAAAAATATAATATCTAGAGAAATGATCACATAGGACTGTTGGGACAATGTGTTCTCACTAGCCAAGACGAGAGGGACACATATGTCCCGATAATAAAAGCGGGAGTAAAACTTTACCACTTACGAGTTTCACATATGTCCCGATAATAAAAACGGAAGTAAAACTTTGCCACTTACGAGTTTATTAGAGGTAATCCGCTTCGTGAGTAACTTATTTGGCCTTAGATTTATGGATAAATCAAAATGTAATCGAAAATAGGCAGTATTTTCCAAAACTAAACTATTTACGTTCGTAGAGTATGGAATGAGCTACTGCAACACTTCAAAAATGCAGGAATTGCATTATGTACGGTAGTGCCATCTATGTTCTGTGAATGAAAATACCTTCAAAAATATTGGCAGGACTGGTGGGAAAGTCTCCCATTAAACAGAGAAGCGTTTCTATCCCAAAAGCATTTTTTGAAATTTGCTTGGGACGTATGTGTCCCGTTAGGTGTGAAAGAGTTAAAGTTCTGAAGTGGTGGCCCAGACTCGTAAAAAATAATTGATGGCACTTTGTAAATAAAATTTTTTTTTGCATTGTAACATAATGATTGTTGTATGTTCTGCATTCAAAATGCTCAGATTTTATCAGACAACATACTTTTAATGTCATAGATTTACTTGTTTTTCATATATATATATGTACTATGTGATTTTTAATTGATAAATTAAAATTGTTTAATTGAATCTCTTCAGTGTTATTGATAATACATTCTTTGTACTGCTTGATTCCTAAGCAGTGTCTTTATCTCTTGCAGTTGAATTCATAGAGGTTACAGAACAGTTGCCTGTTTTGGCATTTGGTCATCCCATTCCTCTATTTCAACCCAGGTATTATTTTAAATTGCATTTTTCCTATTGGATTATACTTTGTTTTGAAATTATAAATGTTTTCTTTAAATAAATATGTATTTGGACATTTCTTCATATGAAATGTTATACATGTTTTTTGGGAGGAAGAGGGGAGTAAATTTCATTTCTGAGTAATCTTTCTTTGGCTTAATGTACATACTAACTTCATAGAATATTCAGTTCAGAATTTTAGTCATAAAGAAAGGAGCTGCAGCAGGAATTATGTCATATATGTATATTGATACTTTGATATTCATTAACATAAGACAGACATTCCATTGGGATTCTCACTTTTTCTTTCAATAATGAAGGTAAAATATTGCTGTGTACTTTGATTAACTGTTCCCAAACAGAAAATGCAGAAACGCATTTCATGTCTCATGATTTAAGTCAAATTCTACACTGACATAAGTCAAATTCTACACTGAATATGTAATTACAAATTAAAGATGCCAAAGTTAAAATATCTTGAATTTAAATTATTTATTCAACAATAGCAATTGCCTACTTTAAACTCCAAATTAGCTGTCTTTTACCTAGAAATATACTGTACTAATAGTGAATATTAAAGAAATGTATTTTCCTTTGCTGAATTCACTTTTTCAAATTTTTAAAAACTAAATAAAAAAAAAAACGTTCCTGAGAGCTACATAAGTCCTGAAGATTGTGTAATGAAGATTAAAAAAGGGGGGTTGGGGGGACCTTGTTTTTTCATATCAGCTGATGTCAGAAAATAAGTGAAAATGTAAAAGTCTTTTCCAACTGGTAAATATGTTATATTTCATATAAATTGATGTCATTTAACATGATACACTGAATTTCTTTGATTTTGAGGTGCTATTGATTGTAAGATGCAACCCTTAATTTTAATGTCACAAACAGAAGAAAAGACTAATTCTAAGAAAATAATGAAACGTATTTAGCAGATTTTTTTCAATAATTATCTTTGATGTCTTGTATTTAAAATGATAATTGGAAAAAGTAATTGTTTCAGAATAATTAGAAATTTAGTTTTAAGATACTGTCTGTTTTAGTGATGCTTAAACAAATATGCAGTTATTTGAAGAAATATGATAGTTCAAATTCTTGCTTTTAGTCATGTGGTTTTAATGATTAAACTGCTAGAGAAATACCTAGCATAATTTCTCTGAAATAGGAGTTGCTGATACTTTCATTCAATATATTATGAAATTTTTACTTCTGAATTGAATAACTTTTTTCTGACTTGCTATCCATTAGCAGTATCTTTTTTTTAAAAAGGAAAAAAGAACAAAATAGTATTTTTTAGTTATTGCCGAGCAGTTTGTGAGCATGTTTTAACTATTAAGGAAAATTTAAAAAATTATTTTCCATTGTAAATTTGAAAATGTGCCATGATTGCCATGATTGAAAAACTATAACACAGCAGCTGTAAAACGCAAAAAAAAATCAGCAAATACTGCTTTGATTGACACAAAATTAGGCAGAAAAGTAGCATATATCTTTATGCATAAAACAAAATCAATAATTATATACAGAAATGAAAACAGTATTAAACTTTTGTAAGTTATCAGATAATGACATATTGGTGACTTAAAGAGAATTATGTATAAAGTGAAAATAAGCAGCATAAAATAAAAAAAAGGGGGGGACATTAATAGGGTATGTGATCGCCCTCATCTTTATACAAAGTTTACACCTTGTGACCATGCTTTCAATTAAGTGGTCAACCACCGCAGAATTAAGCAATTACCATTCTTCTTGTAAAGCAGTTTCCAGCTCAATAAGAGTGGCTGGAAGTGGGAAATATGAAGATACAGCATGTCCGAGAGAATCCCAAAGATTTTTAATGGGATTAAGATCGGGCGAATATGCTGGCTACGCCATACGTGCAATCCCTTCACTCTCCAGGTAGTCATCGACGATGTCAGCAGTATGGGGACCTGTGTTATCATCCATTAAAACAAAAGTAGGGCTAACTGCTGCAGCGTACAATCTCACAATGGGTTCTAGGACTTCATCTCGATATTGGACAGCCATCAAAGAACCCCGTTTAAAGATGTGCAGGTCAGTGAGGCATCCTAATGAAATCCCTGCCCACACCGTAATTCCTCCTTGGAATGCGTGATGTTTTGGGACTGATTGCCTGTTCGTTGTTCACTCCATATCCTTATACGCTTGTCATCTGGCTCCAGAGCAAATCTTGACTCAGTAAACATGACATTGCCCCAGTCAGACACATTCCAATTGATACGTTCCCGGCATCACTGTAATCATGCCTCTCTTGATTGGATGGATAGAGGAACACAAACTCGAGGTACCCGGGCGTACAGTCCACTCATATGTAATCTTTGGCATACAGTAGCTGCAGATATCGCTTTGCCAATGGACACTGTAACCATAGATGTCACATGTGTGGAGATTGCTCTGCGCTTCCGCTTGGCTACAATAGCAATATATCGATCTTCGCGGGGATTGTAACCCTTGGGTGACCAGCCACGAGCCTTCGGACAACTGTCTGTGTGGTTTGGAATTGTTTCCATAAACGTGAAAGTACAGAATGATGAACACCGAAGAAAAGAGCAACATCTGTGATCGACTGTCCTGCTTTGATGCTCCCCGCAGCACACCAGCACTCAGAATCTTCCATTCGTCTTATGGAAGTCATAGAAACATGTATGTCTTGAAAACAAATTGTACGAAAGTTTTAAACACCTTCTATCAGCACTTACAATCAATTTCTGTAACCCTTCATAAAGCTGTCTCCTTATAAAACTGCCTTTTTTGCATATTTCTTGACATGAAAGTGCGATTGGCTGTTACCTAACATATTTGCTTACTTCCATCTACCTCTGCAGCGAATTGCATCAATTCTGATTGTCTTCCAGAAATTAGTATTTTCCTCTCTGTGCTTAACTTTTGGAAGTGAGTTATAAAAGTTGATGACATGCACATCTCTTATTCTAAGTATTTTTGAAATTTGGTTCTGTTTTTTCCACATACTTAAAGTTTTTAAAGACAAAACGTTATTTTAAGTTATCATTTTTCACTAAAATTGTCTCCATTACCTTTTGTGAAAATTTAGGAAGAATTTCATTTTCCTATAAATATATGCAATGTATTCTACCTGAGATTCTTTACTGAATATGCAGAATGAGATGCATAACTACATAACATAACATTCACAGATAGTTATATGTGTCCAAAAATAACACATCAGTTTATTACTGGACAAACATTCTTGATACATACCACCAATCACACATTATTTTGGATACATAATGCTTCCCACAATTTTATACATCTTTATGCAATGCTGCTCTTACATAGTGGCATAATGCAGATTCTATTTTCATGATTGGTATTTCTCATTCGTTACAGTTAGGATCTTAAGAATTTTAATTGAAATTAATCTTTTTTTAAATGTGGTGTTAAATAGGAAATTATATCTTTTAATATGGTTTTCAAATCATATCAGATTCGAAGGAAACTAAATTTTTGTGAAAATAGTCTTGTATTATTTATGTTCTGGGTAACCACTAAAAAGTGTTTGGTAATTATTTATACGTATACCGTAATTATTGCAGAAATGAAATTCAGTACTCGTATGTAATAAAAATACAATAATAAGGATACATCAAAAAGTGAAATTTAAAACTAGTGCTAATTTTTCTGAATTGCTTAATTTGTTACTTCCTTTCTTCAGTTCTGATGTATCTGAACTAGACTATATTAATTAGATTTTAATGATGAATTTCAAATTTAAACCATTTATTGCCAAATTTTACTTTTAAATCGGATATATTTTGTATGTAATGCACAAACCAAGTTTTTCTTTCTTTTTTTCATTTCATGATTAGAGTCTTAAATTTACTAATCATTAAATTATGGTACACATTTTACATGTAGTACAGCTTAATATTACCCTTTCCAGCTTTTGTTATTGCTAAAAGTATGAAAAATTATATATTGTAATTATGAAGACTGTTTAAAAATATTTTTTAGCAAATCCGGTATAAACTTAATTTAATATTAAATATAGTGAACATTAATTTTAATAGCTTACATTAATTTTGTTATTAGTAAAATTAGGAATATAATTCAGTTTTTATTAATTTGATAATTACTTTTATTTAGTGAGTTTACACTACCTTGGCGATGTAGTGAAAATCAAAGTTACGAATCAGTGGAGATCAAGGCTAAAAAGAGTCGTTCTACTGCTGCTGTGCCGAAAGTAACCTGAAAACAAGAAGTTATTCAAGTTATTATTTGCAACCTGTCTTAGACAGCTAGGAAGCAGAATCTGAGTAAAGAACATGCAATATTGTCCAGCATTTGCCTTTTTAGATATGGAGTCAAGCGGGCAGAAAATATGCAGGGATGAAATACTAGTTATTTTAAGATCTGTAGTGTACATATGTATATTCAGAAAACATTTTAAAACCTATAATCAATCATCTGTTGTTGTAAGCAGTCAATTCCATCAACATTGTTCTATCAGTTTTGTTCTTTTGTAATTGGTATCATTATCACAAATTACCAATGAAACTGTTGAAATGTATTATATCTGAGAACATAAAGCAGAAGCTTGTACAAAATGAAACTAAAAGTACAGCTTTTCATTATGAAGTGATATATCATCTTTGTTGCCTCATTTGTAAATAGTCACTTGTCGCTGATTATACATATATATATATATTATGACTTATACATACACACAGAAGATCTTGGATATTCAACTAGTAGATTTGTAGAAACTTCAAAAATAAATTTAATGCATATTAAAATAATTAATAATGTTAGTGTCCTTAAGCAATAAATTATAAATATTAAGCTAATAGTGGAAAATTTTAAATTTGATTATTAGTTGAAATATGTGGCGAGCGATACAAAAGAATGATGAAATAAACACAGCTGTCAAAAGGAAGTGGCAGTTTCACAAAGATGCTGCAGTAGTAACATCTTCATAATATAACGTAATAAAAGGTGTTTTGTGAATGTACTTCTTTAGTTGAATGGATCATAAAAAGTATTGATTTTCTTCCGTCAGATTTATAAACTCTTGTTCATGATGTATATTTTAATGAGAATTTCATAATTTTCTCGGAGGAGGGGGGAATGTAGATATAATGATCATATTGCATGACAGTGACTATATTAATCATTTGGATAATTTGAAAGCAATTATGAATATTGACAATTGAATGAAGATCTCTTCTGTGTGTATATGTATTGCGATTTTGCTGACACACAGATGTTCCTGCTGTGCTTACTAAAATAGTTAGCATATGTTTCAAGAGTTTAAATTTTTAACTGAAAGGCACAAAATAAGCAAGTTTATTTGAATTTGCTTTTTATAATAAAATTAAATATGTTGCCTTAAAAGCACTTATAATTTTGTTTTCTGATTCTTCATCCCTTATGTGAAATATGTCTGCTTCTATTATGTATTTGTCTTACTAATCATCTTTAATTATGTAATAAAAAAAAGATTTTAAATCCTTATCTTCTTGGTCTTCAGTGTGTGTGGACCAAAAAACCTGATTAAATTACGCTTGGACTACGGCTTTCAGAGTATTTCATTTTCAAAATGAACAAAAAGCTGTGGTTAGAAATAGTTTCATTAAATTCTTTTACAACAGCAAGCCTTTTTCTTTTTAATGTAATTTGACTTCAGAGTTAAGAGTTGAGCTGCATGGAATTCTGAAAAAATTTTTACTATTTTAAGGGTTGAGTGTCACTCAGGCAGTGCACTTCTTTATTTCTTTTATGACAACCATTGTTTGCATATTTTTACATTTAGAATATGTATTGTATGCCACCATCCTTTGATTTGCATTGCTAGTGATACCTACATAATAAATTTTGATTATTATTATTTTGTAATTTGTGCTTATTTCATTCATGAAAAAAAAAAAAAAAATTTATGGTGGAAACTATTATTAAGTGATATGTTTTATGTAGTCTTATTCATTTACAATAATATACACATTTTTTTTAATGTTGCTCTATCTTGTGTTAAACCAATATTGGGGGGGGGGGGGCATTTTAATTTACTGTCTAAAATATATGAAATAGGAATTTTGAGGAATTTCTCATTAGTGAAGTGGACACTGAACAGTGATTCTCATTCTGAAAGTGAAATTTTTGGGCTGTTTGAAGAAATAATTGCATGAATTTGGAAAAATCCAAAACCTTCTCTTTCCAAGATTTCTGACTATCAGTACACCTGTCGTAAATTTGTCGTTTGGAGAAGATACATAGCCAGATATTTTGTATTAATTTGAATATTTCTGGAATTTTGATATAATGGAATTGATTGGAGGGGAAATTAACTGATATGCACATCATTTAAGGTCTTCTGAAATTTTGGGAATGTAGATATGATGATCATATTGCATGACATTAATCATTTGGATAATTTGAAAGCAATTATGAGTATTGACAATTGAATGAAGATCTCTTCTGTGTGTATATGTATTGCGATTTTGCTGACACACAGATGTTCCTGCTGTGCTTACTAAAATAGTTAGCATATGTTTCAAGAGTTTAAATTTTTAACTGAAAGGCACAAAATAAGCAAGTTTATTTGAATTTGCTTTTTATAATAAAATTAAATATGTTGCCTTAAAAGCACTTATAATTTTGTTTTCTGATTCTTCATTCCTTATGTGAAATATGTCTGCTTCTATTATGTATTTGTCTTACTAATTATCTTTAATTATGTAATAAAAAAAGATTTTAAATCCTTTTCTTCTTGGTCTTCAGTGTGCGTGGACCAAAAAACCTGATTAAATTACACTTGGACTACGGCTATAAGGTCTAGTAATAATAATGCAGATTGTTTTTTCTTTCCATATTCTTCAAGAAATTGTATCTAAGCCAGTATTTGAGTGATACTAGTCCTAAAACTAAATTAGTTATGATCATTTTCTGAGCATCTTAATAAAAGCTTTCTAACAATTACACTTAAGATAGAAATTACAATTTGTGAGAAATCTGATGCTAATAAGAAGTGATTAAGACAGATTGAGTTTATGCCTCTAAAAAGAGCTTTATTGGTCTTTCGTTATTTGTACTGGATACCGACATAGAACTTGAAGCCAACTATGAGCATCATTCTGTGGATACATGAACACTTAAGAAACCAGTTTGAGCATGGGATATGATCTAACTAAGGCAAATATTTTGCTTCATGCAAACTTATAGTGATATACTTTTATAATACAAACCTAACAATAAACAGGAAGCAGTTGGCAAGAGATTTGTAAAAGAAAAAATTGAAAAAAAGAAATGTGTGTCCTATCACAAAGGAAAAGTCTGTGTCATAAAGAGGAAAGAAAACGATCTCCTTATTACCAACAATTTACAAAACAGAAATGGAGCTTCAAACTGAAACAGACAAAAAAAAATTTACTAAAAAAGAGGGGGAAATTATTAATGTACCTCCGTGATCTAATAATATGGAATTCTTTTTTTAGTTATTCAAACCAGGCAGGTTTAAAAGTCCACTACAATTCATATTAAATATAGTGGAACAAATAAGAAAATCTGATATAATGAAGTGCAAACCAGGATGTTCATAGTAGTCATCACCACTGCATGTAGTGGGAAGACAGTATAAAGTATGTTTTTATGAAGATGCACAATAATTCAAAAAGAGAGAAGCTCTATTACTGTCCAGATTGTAATGTGTGAAAAGGTTCAGAGATATCCCGTGTGCAGAAAAATTATTAAATAAAATTTGATAAGAATGTTGTTTTTATAATATATATTGTATCATTTACAAAATTTACCACCACTGCTTCCAAAAAAGGCAATTTTAATCAGCAGTGGTTAAATAAGCTTTTATCATAAATTACTACAGAATTAAGATAGTGCCTACCAAAAGTTGAGTACATAATGCAAACCTTTAAATAGATGGCTTTTATATGGGAGTTTTGGGGGGTGTAGATGTTTGCAGATGTGAAGCAGCTTTCCACAAAATAAGCTATACTTGATTAATTATAGGGGAAGAACATATTATTGAGCAGCACTGCATTACAGTAAGAAGGATACATCATATTTCTTTTCAACATAATCAATCTGTGCACTAACATTTTTCTGAATATCGGTTCTCTGATGATAAAAATCTGTTTGTGGTCATCCAGGCATCACCTGTTATTTGAAAAATTGTTACCAACACTGTCACTTTGCAGTTGTTGTGAATTACTTCATTGTACCCCTCTAACCCAAAAAATCCTTAAACTATCAAATTTTTAATTTTTTTTAAATGTTAACTGCAGCATTTCTAAATATTTAAAAAAAGGGGGGACAGTTCTATTCTCCCCCGTTCTACTGTGCCGACTTGTGTTTTTCATATTTCGAAAGCGCGACTTAGGATATGTATTAGATTTATATATAGCATTGTTCTAATATAGGTATTTTGATACAAAACCGCACTTTTCTGAAATCGCATACCAAATTTTTTCCATATTTCATTTCTACAACTGGGATTATGCCATCGAAATATGAAAAAAAATTGTGTTATTTCAGAAAGTCTGATTTTGTGTCAAAATACCTATATTAGAAACAATACTATATATAAATCTAATGTGATTTTGTGTCAAAATACCTATATTAGAAACAATACTATATATAAATCTAATGTATATCCTAAGTCGTGCTTTTGAGATATGAAAAACACAATTTGAATTTTGCCAATCGGCCTAGTAGAACGAGAAATATAGAACTGCCCCCCCCTTTTTTAGCGCAGTGTACTTACTGTAGTTTAAAAGTCATTAAGTTTTTTTTATGTTCAAAGGTAATCATTTAAGAGAGTATAATTAAATGGCTGTTGTTCATTAGCATTATAGCTTTAATATAATACAAATTATTTTATTTACTACTTCTAAGCCTGGAATTAACTTCCACTCACAGTTATCTTTCAAAAAGTATTGAACAAAAAAACACACACACTAGGCATGATGGCAAAAGATTTTTATTAAATGAACAAATAGCAGCATCTGGTATGAAATGTGCAGTTTTGGGTAGTAAATCTTAAAAAAAAAAAAAAAAAAAAAAAAACATTTCATAGCAGAAATCTTTATTTAAGCAGGCACTTAAATAGTCGAAAGTCATTAATTCGGACCTCAAAACTACAAACTTCCTGCGCGCGTATAGGCGTTTACGTGTGCGTGCAAGACCTTTAATGTATAACGGATGGTATAAGCTAAAATTATCTAATTCAGTTAATGTTGCAGATTGTGTTGTTCCTTAATCTTCTAATTGGATCCGGCTTATTATTTTTTGCAGACTGTTAGAGAAATTTTAAAAAGTAAGCTTAAACTTTCGATTATATCAAATAGAATTTCCGATATATATTTGCTAATATGTAAAGGATCTACAAAGCGAAAGTATGCTTCGAAATCCGAAATCTGTTTATCAATTTCAGGCTGCTCTGCGGAGGGGTAGGGGGGGGAGCGCAACGAATTGGAAGTTGATCTGTCAGCATTATCCTTATCTTCAGGGCAGATGTTTTTATTTTATTTGGCTTATAATTCCTTACTAAATGTAGTATTTCATCACGATGTACTCAGTCTTTGATATGATTTGATTTAAATCAAATTCCTCGTCATTATAATTCGCTTCGGATAGTGAAGAAAGTGACACAGAGGTTATTGAAAACAAAAAAATTTCGATTGACAAATTATTTGGTATTCTCCACACAGCAATTATAGGACTTGAACAGCGGAACTTTGTAACTGAACAAGAAGTTATGTTTGTTTATAGAATTAAAGAGAAAGTATTATCACATAAAACGAAGCAACTTAAAACAACTTACATTGAAAGAAATGTTTAATAAGGTAAACAAATAAATATTAAGCTTTTTTTTTTTTTTTGTAAATTTTGATACCCTTTAGATCATAATGGTTCTTTATTTCATAAATTACAGTTTCATATTTTTAATTTTATAATTTCTGCATGCCATCTTACCAGATTTAAATTAATGATCTATAATTCAAAATCACCGAAGTCCCGACGAGTCTGGATTAAAGACTTTTTACCGTATTATCAAATATAGCTCTTTGAACTTTCTTCCATATAGGGACTATTTAAAAAAATAAACCTTAAATCTATAGAAATAATTAAAGTTCACTAGAACTTAAAATTATGCTCTATAGGCGTTATGAAATTTTAATTTTACATAATTGTTCAAAATCTGCTTGATAACATATTATTGAAGGAGGAAACTTTTAGCAAATTAGAATATAATTGGTTTAATTAAAAATAATTTTATTTTGTTGTAGAATACTGCAATGTCCAACTACATACTATATGCTACTAATTAAAATTCAGTTCTTTTCAATAATTAATGCATAATAAAACAGACACTCAAAAACGGTTTTTTTAGAATATTTTAGTTTTAAAAATTTGAAAAGAAAAAAAAAATTATTTAAATATGTATCAAAATTTAGGTACTTCTCAGTGCAGTTTTTCAAATTGACGAGAAAATTAATTGTTATGCTTAGTGTCTGCAAAAACTGTGGGATAAAAGTTACACGATAATTAGTTGTCTTCAATACTGTATTATGTTATTCTATATTATGCTACATAATTTAGCACATTAAGAGAAATTTCCAGAAAATTCTCTCCTGTTTGAAATCGTCGTTGCATGTGAATTTTTCTATTTCCTCTATTGTTTTCATTTCAACTCCAGACTCTCTTTGTAGAAGCTTTGACATCACCTTGGTGGCATATTTTATATGATGGAATTTAAATTCTACAATATATTAGCGAATATCTGTACTTAGTCTACTAAGTTACATAGTTTTACTAGTTACAGTTACTCAAAAAATCTTCATTGTCAGGTCATGCGAAATCTATACTGACACAGTTGAAATATTTGTTTTTGTCTTTTTTATTGAAAATTTGGCAGCTATTCATTGTTTTCATTAACACCTCAGTCATTATGCTGTTGTATCGAAACTATTTCATAACCGAGTCCCCAAGATACGAGCCCCCAGGAATTTGACTTCGAACGCAGTTGCTGAGATATATGTTTAATGAATGACAAAGGCATTCAATCACTTAAAAGGTCAAGGTTCAGAAATTCAGATGAAGAGAACATGTGTTGTCTTAGAACAATGATTTGTACATTATTTGAGAGCTTCTACATCCTGTTTGTATTCTCGGAGCTCAACGGACAGTGTAATTTCAGAAATGCTAATCCATTCTGAATATCTCTAAAATTTTTTGACCGTGTAATCCAGACACTGATACAGAGGTACCTTTTAAAATAACATAATACCAGTACATCTGGAATCTAATGGCTAGGGATGATCTTTCAAACTGATTGACTAGTTTTAGTGTATTTAGGATTTCCAGGCTTCAGACTGAAATTGTAAAACTACTGTTCTTTCTTTGACACAAAATTTATACTTATGTTCTTGCGATTTGTTTGAATCACAGTAAACTTCCATGTGTGAAGGTCACTTCAGCATAAAACAGATATATATGAAAATACAGACAGAGAACTGTTAAGAATGTAAGACAAAGTACATGTATACAAGTGCTTGGGAATTTATATTTGTTTATAGAAATGCTTACCTACATATCCATGTAGTATATATGTCTACATTGATATAATATATAAGTGCAGATATGTACATATAGCAGAAAACTTGCGTACCCTTAAATGGGAATAAAGTATATACAGATATGTACATGTACACACTCAGGCACACATATGCACTTATATATATGTGTGTGTGTTTTGCGTGTGGATTTATGCATATGTGTATAAACATACAGATATATGTATATATATTTCATCATCAAGCTCTTGAAGAAGTTTTCGTATTTCTTCAGTCAGACCTCTTTTCATTTTCAGCATATTGCTAGAAAAATGTCAAAATAATTCCTAAAAAAATATGCAATATTCTAAAGTAATGCAAGGCTCTGTTTACAATTTACAAACGCAGTTATTGCGAATTCTGTAGCTACGTAGCTACATGAACTAAAAGGGAAAAATTGGGGAAAACCAGATTCTTAACACAAAGACCTTTGAAAGAGATAAGTGGTTAAAATCCCAAGGACATCAAATTTGACATTTCACCCCACTCTTTAAACCTGGAAAATGGGAGAAAAAGACACGGCCACTAAAGTGGACAACCCTGTCCTTTCAAAGAAAGGACTCAATGGCCATCCCGTCTTCAAAAGGTTAATGCAACGAATAACTGAAGATTTCTTTTTCATGCCCAAAATAAAGCTGCAACATGATCCGATGCATTCAGCGGCACGTTGTACTCCAGTAAACAGTTAGAGAACACTAAATTTTTGGTCCTTCGTTTCCACAGATAAGTCCTCCTCCCAATACAACTCACTTTATTATTTACGTGCTCTGCTCTTATGCACTACATGTAAGGGATGGATGCCTTCATGGAAGACTTTTTAAGAGAAACTGGCTCGTATACACGATACACATGAGGAAAACACCAATGCAGCCAGCCCGTTCGCGGAAATCAAACCTCGGACTGAACTACCAGTGTTCAGTGACTTTACTGCTTGGTCGATGGTAGGTCTATGACTCACTTTGTCCTTGTGGTTTTTTATATGCTCGCATTTAAGAACATCGGCCTTTTACCATGCGAAACTGAAAAATAGCAATGACAAATGGTACACATCGCAGTGTACTCATTTCATTAACAAAACAGAAGGCAAATCATCTGCATATGATTTTTTAAATGCACGAGTATTTTACTTCTTTTTACGACCTAATTGACAAAAGATTGCATTCTCGCCAAGCTAAATAAAAATCCTAAAAAATTTCTATAACAGAAAGTCAGGAGAAATATGTCCTAAATTGGGTGGGCAGGAGTACGGTCTGAAATCAGGAGAGAGGTAACTATGCAATAATAATAGAATTGTATATTGTAGTGTCCATTGATGGTACAATAGCTTTCAGTTAACTGTGAAGCACGCACACACACAAAAAAGCTGGTTTTTATATATGTATTTCATGTAGTTTTATTTCTGTAGTCATTTATAATCTATACACTGACAATCCTGTTTATGTAAGCAAAAGATAAATATGAGAAAAACTGAATGTGGCCACAACATAACTTCCAACTAATTCCATACTTTAAATTAAGTACCACTTTCCACTGATCGCGAACGAAATCCAATTTGTTGTCCCAATAAATAGAAATGTCCCTTATAGGAAACTTTGGATGAGAAATTTTTAGGTGTAATTATTGGTCATGTGTAAAAATTAGATTTTCTGATTTTTTTAACATAATCAAATGTTTGCTCCTTTATATCTCCAGTCAAAAGTTGTATTTTATTGGGCAGTTGAATAACATATAATTGCTGTTTAATTAAGTAAAATAAAGTGTTTATATTTAAAATAAGCACCATAATTTAATTTTCTTTTACAGTATTTATAAAAGTATTGTACTGATGTGGTTACCCATATGGCTGGCTATCCTGGCTGTGAAAGGAATAAGAGTAGGAAGTCAGCAGAGTGAGATTCAAATCCCATTCAATATCGAATCTGAACTGAAGGAATTGAAGTCAGGTACTTCTGATGAAGTGAACCCACAGCAGTTACCATGTTAAAGCTATTTAAAACCTGATGTAATATCATTTAAATTAGTCAATCACTGAACTTCTCCTGATGCACAAAATTATACTATTTTATAACCATTACTTTTAATCCCCAATAATTACAACATTCGAATGTTTTCAAATTTTTAAGTATGTTAGGAGAAAAATTATAAAACCATTAATAAAAAGAATTCAGACAAAAAAAGAGTCAGGTATCTTATAAATTGTTGGAAAAATATCAAAGAAGTAATTTTAATGAATATACTACAAATGTGCTTAATTTTATGATGATTGTTGACTTTCTACATAAAAGACTAAATAAAACTATAAAAAAGAAAGTGATATATGTATATAAACACAGGACAAGTGAGAAACTTCCTCTAATAAAAATTTATAAACAACTGTACACAGACATTATCTTTTCATAAGATAAAGTATCTAGAAGTCCAGACTATCATTCTACTATGTACATCCATTTCCTCTGTGAAATAAATGTAACCCTATTACAAATGAGCTCATCTAAAAAGTTCATTATTGTTTAAAAAAGTGATTTTTTTTTTTCAAAAGATGGAAAACAGGATACTAGAAACCTGGTCTGAAAAGATACTCACCTCCAATGAATTTTACAAGGAAAGGGCATATAGAATTAATCCTAGTGCAATATTCTGCATCTTTCCACTGTTTATTTATAAATATTTTACTCTGTATGGAATTTAATAATGGTTTATTTATCAACTAAATGAAATACAAACATTGTTTTATCAATTATGTATTTTTATATAAATAAGACAATTCTGGTTATATGGAAAAAATTAATTATATTTTGTATTTAAATCGAAAACAAAATCACATTTACATTAGAAGTGCTACGAAATTCAAGAGATGAGCAAAATTTAAAACAGATACATGTATATATAGAAATTCATTACTATTAGTAAAATACAGAACATTTACGTAAATATCTACTTAATGGGGTAAGGAAAGAATCCCTTTGTTTTCCCTGTGTTTTATGAGTCTTTATAATGATTTGGCATAAAATTTCAAGCTGTACAATGAATTTTGTTTAATTATTTTTCAATTACATACTGTTAAAATAATGGCTTATAACACAAAACTGACAATGGTATACAAAACGAAATGTATCTCACATAACTGGATGAAACAACTACAATTTCCATCACTGACATCGTAACACTTACTTACATGCTTAAAATTTAGTACTTAGCTTAAAAAACATATGTAGAAGCAAAACTCAAGTCACAACTTAAAATGCTTTTTATAAGGCTTGGGAAGAAAATTACTATAAACGGCAGAAGTTCGGTATAACATAAGCTGAAAAACATGGATGACTGATATTCTAAAAACAAATGTGAAGTTTCCAGAAGTGATTACATATGATGATAACATACAAAATAATGAAGAGAGCGTCTGCACCTCAGACAAAAAAAAAAAAATGAATGTCCGAAAAGCTATACAGCTCATTGCTATCAAAATGGTTTTCAAATTTCTCCTCCAGTCTGTTCTTGATATACTTCAATAACATCATCATTCTCCATCTCAAGCTATAATTTTAAAAATTGTTTTGTATATTAATGTAATAACAACAACATGCATTAAATAGAAATCTTTTAATATATATTTAACAATTACAAAATTAAAGGCAAACTCAAATTACCTGTTTAGGTGTTTCATCATCATTAATCCTTCGACCATCAAAAAGAAAGCGAAGTGATGTTACTGGTACACCCTATTAAAATAAACATTCACATATAGATATATACTTTTCTGCAATGGAAAATTTGAATTTAATTTCTTAAAAAATTTTGCTGTGAAAAATAAGCTCAGTATTAAGTCCAAAAATCTGGACATCCAATACCCAGAATGATATAAAATCTGGACTGCCAGCAAACTATTTTGTATGCTTAATTTTATCCAAGGATTTACTTATGTATGTATGTGCATTTGATATTTTTTCATAATAAAACATGAGGTCTCAATTCTTAATTTCACTTTGGCACTAAATAAAAAGATTTTATATTGAAGAAACAAACTTTTAGCATAAATACGTATCAATAATTTAGGCTCTGTACCTGTCCTTTTTACTTAGCATATATGACAAATCAAAATGTTCTACATTGAAACATCATTGATTTTACACCTACTGAATAATTTATATCCCTGATGCCAACTTGCTTGTCAAAATCTGATTGAATTAAATCTTGATTGATTAAATCTTGATGCTTGTCAAATCATTTATCAATTTTTCCTTTGATGATGACTATCAACAAATGGCAGCCTGAGAAATGATTTGTGCAGCAATGTCTCTAAAAAAATATTATTATTTTAAATACAAAGTGAATACCAAAAAGCACAGTAACTTTTTATGTTGACATAACACTTCACAATGATTAGACTTTAGGCAACTGAATTGCAGTGTTGACAAGGAGCAACTTTTAAAAGAAGTTTCTTTCTACATGCAAAAAAGAAATAAGATTCTGTAAATAATATTTCATAGGCCAAAAGATTACATTTAGTGCTGTTTGAATTGAGAATAACTAATTTGCAATTCAGATAAGCCTAGAACCAGCACTAAGGCTGTTATGGCTGCATCAAACACAGAAGTTTTAGTATCTAGAGAAGCCTTTAGCAGAGAATTTAATACAAAACCATAATGGGGCACTAAAATAAGCCTTAAGCATGTGTGAGAAACAGGCGTAAGTATATAACTAAACTATACAAATCAGGCTCCAGAATACTTACTGGCAGTAAGTTACGTGCTGCCACATGTCTCCTTAGAAAATACTATACATGCTCGATTGGATTTGTTCTGGAGACTTTGCTGGCCAATCCATATGTTCAGTATCCTCACTCTCCAACAGCTCTTCGACAGCAACTATGGAGTGTTGTCGTCCATGAAGAAGAACCCACAGCACCTCTCAAAAGACGCACATAAGGAAAAAGGACCTCGTTACAATAGCGGGCTCCAGTAAACGACCCTCCTTGGAAGATGTGAAGTTCGCTACAGATGCCAAGCATGATGCCTTCCCCAAAAAAGAACTCGGCGACCTCCAAACCAGTCCCTTCAGATGATGTTGGAGGGCCTTACTACGTGTTCCCTTCTCTCTCCAGATATGTATGCATCTAGAACCACAACAAAGACCAAATCTACTTCCCATTCGTAAAGATTACTCAAACCCATTGATTACCTGTCCAATTCTAGTATTCCCTGCACGACAAAAAACACCTCTGATTGAGAAGGCACCATGCATGCGATCATGCAGACTACCATTGTGCCATCTTCCTGCCATGGTAAAATACAATATCAGTTGTCCAATCACTTGTTCCATGTGTCTTGACATTTCTTCCACCTGTTCCTTCTTGGCTGTTAGGCAATATACCGGTCATCCGCTTCCATTGTTGCTCATGGACGACCACTGATGAACCTTCAGACAGGTATTCTTGTATATAGTTTGAAATGTTCTTAAATTGTGAAACAACGCTGTGAGCAATCCTGAACTCCGCAGCAACACATGCCACACTTTGATCTTCCTCAATCTTTCCAATGATTCAACGTCAGATACAATCCTCCAGATGTCTAACAGATTGACCGTTCGGTATTTCACACTGAGGCAGCAACTCGACGTCATTTAAACTGATAGCAACTTGATCAGGGTTAGTAGTCACACTTTGGTTAAAAAAATTAACACCTATAAGCACTTTTCAAGCACATTTTAAGAAAAAAATATGCACCTGTCTAATTACTTTATATGTAACTACATAACCTCAAAAATTATACTTTAAAATATGAGAAATTCAGTATTTATTAAAAAGAGAATGAGCATTACTCAACCATGGAAAACAATTAAATTTTTTTGTTTCATTTGGAATCTAAAAATGAATACAATTTATTTTTTCACTCATATTAATATTTAAATAATTTAATCAAAATTCTGAGCTTTTTATTTTCATTGTATAACAGTTTTCCCTTAACCAGGGTTCATACACATTTTTACATATGGAAATTAAAGACTTTTAAGGACCATTAATGAAATAATTAAGGACCTATAAGCAAATGAGAACTGAATAAATTCAATTAAAAATATTATCTAAGCCTGAATTTCACTTTTGTAATACCATTCTAAAAATAAAATAGATCCCTAAGTATGACACATTATTATTATTAACATTGAAAGTTTGAAATTAATTAAAGTTTGAGAATAAAATTAACTTTATGCAATTTACAAGTAGCATTAAATATTTTACACTTATAATAGTTGGACATATTTGAAAGAAGATAAGTGACATTTATATTTTACTAACAGTTAGCTTTATGTTAATTTTTTTTTGTCTCATCTTGTCATGAGACATAAAGTCTAGAGGTTTAGTAAATAGCAGGTAGATTTTACGTCAAGCGTCATAGGTCAAAATGAGAAGTAAGATCACAATCAGCATGATTCATAACAAAAGACTGAATGTTGTCACCGCTGTTGCTTGTCTAGAGAGAGACCTGCTGATTAGAACAAAACTGAAAGGCCCGTTGTAGGCACAGTTGGCAAGTTTTGAAAGTGTTGTTGTTACAAAACATTTATGTCTTGTAACAACAACACTCAACAAAATATTTATGCGTCATTTTGATCTGATGCCTTCCCAGACATTTTGGCAAATTTTTATCAATTTCCTCCTCTTTAAGCATCTTTTCTAACAATCAGAAATTTGTCTCAATATGCAAACCAATGTTCTGACTAGTTTCTGCATGCTTTATCTGCTAACCTGTCAACCTCTCCACAATACACCTATGAGGGTTTACTAACCAATGTTCTGACTAGTTTCTGCATGCTTTATCTGCTAACCTGTCAACCTCTCCACGATACACCTATGAGGGTTTACTTGATCTGGTAAAAGTTAAATACTTCCAAACCCCCCGACAGACATGAAGCAAATTATTGCTATGTCTGAAAGTAATTATATAATATCAGACAAAGGTTTCAATAAGCCTCTTATTTAAAAAGAAATTAAAACAGAAAGGCATGTTCTGATGCTAACAAAATCAATTACAGCTCATGGTGACATTATAAAACAAGAACAGTCAAATTTAAACTTTTTAGTGGTCAAAGATTATACAATTTAATTTAAATTTAAGCTGGCTCAGTAACTATCATATGAGGAAATAAAAACAATAAATTCTAGTGAAGGCTAAAATCATAAACAACTGGGTAATTTACATAATAACTGTACATATCTTTGAAGAATAATTTTCTTCGTGTATTTAGTTTTTCCTTCAACAGATTTCATTTTCATTTTAGAACTTTTGGATTTAATTAAAGATTTCTGCTATTCCAAAATAAAATTTTAAAAAAGTGCATTTAGAATGTATAGAAAAAGCAGCTAATTTTATTACTTTAATAATATGAACATTCAGAAGAAATATTGAAATATATATGGTAAGGGTCGGTTACAGAGCTGGTGCAGAAGAATTTTTTAAATTCAGTGACACACCGAGCAACAAAATCTAGAAATGGCAAACGTTTAGAATTTAGAGCATTGAAAGTAGAATTTAGAAATACATTTAGAATTTAGAGCATTGAAAGTAGAATTGTTAGAATTTAGAGCATTGAAAGTAGAATTTAGAAAGGAACTAGGCAGCAGAAAGGTTGCACAGAGATTGCATCAGGAGGGAAAATGCATAGTGCTAGCTCAGTGTATGATGCATTAAGACATATTACATGAATCTTTCAAAAGCCTGTTTTCAATTTTTTTTATTAAGAAAAAAATTGCTTTCTATAGCGCCTGCCCAATGTGATAAGATTATAAGCATTTTGATCTTTTCCATACTTGTGTCTAGTAAAAAGTAGAGAAAATAAAAGAAGATAAACATGTTAAGAAAAAGATTCTATGATGAAGTAAAACATTCAAATAGTATGTTTCCATTGTTCTTAGACTTCTCCAAAAAGTAAGAAATTCATCGCAATTTTTGTGTAAAATACATCCATTACGTGTTAATAATATGGAGACATTTATTTTGTCACATATCTCTAGAATCTACTAGAATTGTGGGTCTATAAATCATGCCTTCAAATTCTTTTAAACTTTCCAAGCTCCAATGTCTAAAATTCTAAAGAAAAATTATCCCTACTAATTCTGTAATAGCAAAAAACCAGAAATATTTTGGCAAAAAAAAAAAAAAAGGAGAGAAAAATGTAAAAATAATTTTATAGAGAAACCTGATGCGTATTCTGAATAGTCTGACACAATTACACAGGAAAAACTTTTACTACGAAAAAATTTTAAAAAAGACATTTTTAATTAACTATATAGCTAATTTTGCTTTTGTTAAGAACTGTTTTGTAAAGTGTGCTTTATACGCACATTTTCCATACATTATACCTTGTTTATTTTTCAGACTCAAAATACTGTATTATAAGTTGCCAAAATAAAACTATTATATGACAGCGGAAAATAAAAATGTTTTATTTTAATGTTATTTTTAAATATAATTTCAATATATTGTTATTTTAGTGAAATTTATCAACGTTATATGTTTTAAAAACGACTGTCGAAAAATTCCCAGATCTCGGAATTAAAAACTTTTTATAGAAACTGATCTTAAAATCGCTAAAATGTTGATAAGTTGCCAAATTCAGAACCGTTTAATAAAGGCGAAAAGTTGCTTAAGAGCTCTTCTTAGAAAAAATGAATTCTGAAATGCTTATGTTTCACTTCTTGCTTAGAAACTCCAGTACCCCACCATTTATATTAGAAATAGAAACAATTCAAAAGATAACCATATATGTAAATATATAACCAAAAGATAACCATGAACCCATTCAAAAGATAACCATATATGTCAGTAAATTGCCAAAATATATTCCTCCAAAATGATAATTCACACTCAAAATGGCAGTTGTAGAAACAGACAGACATTTCTGATGATTAAAATTAAGGACCTTCTGGCGATTTTGGCCACAATTAAGGGCTTTTAAGGACCAAAAATCGATTCCAAAAAACTAAGGCCGTACGAACCCTGTTAGAACAGATATTGCAAGCAAAGTAATTTAAATAAAAATAAGTAAAAAGAGTAACATTTCTGAAATCAGAAGACAGGAAATTGCTTCATGCAGTCATCCTTTAACAGTGAAAGCTTAACTAACTGGCCTATTCAAAAACTGTTGAATATCTGAAAATTCTGGATAGTCAAGTGTAACTGAAAAAACAGGAACGGGGTAGATTGTAGCCCGCACATGATATTACGCAATTGAATCAACACCTGCCAGTATTTGGAAAATAAATAACTAAATAAAGGAAAGACTTATTAATTTGGGGTGTTTTTCATTTTAATTTTGAACAGACTGTGTTAAATTTCCAAAATAGAATCATTCTTCGCTTGGGTGGGTAGACCACAGAACTTTTAGTCCTATTCAATCCAGATTGGAAAGCGACAAAAAAAAAAGTTCATTGTTTCATTTGCTGCGAACTGTAACGGTTTCAATATTCAAGATTTTGCGGAGAAGGGGGAGGACAACCCCAACTTCCGTACTATATAATACACTGGGAGGAAAAAAAAAAAATTATTTTGACTATTTGATTACTTTTATTCTATTTAAGCCATTATGTATATTATTCCTTAGAAAGCTAATCTGTGTTAAAACACTTATCCATTTTTGAAGTTATCTATACTTAAGCAGTTACTGCAAATATATTATAAATATTCATATATATACTCATAATATAAGCATAACGATCATAATAAACACGAATATGAACTGACCACGTGGAATAAGAATGCAAATTATTAAAATCTTGATAAAAATTTTAATGTGTGTAGTTTTGGGTGGGAGGAAAAGAATACGAAATGTATTGGAATTTTCTACCGCTTTCACAAGATAATGACCAATAGAACGACGTGAACCAAAGGTTATGTTTATGCATGGAAAAGGGGCGAAAAGCTATTTCCGGGAGTATGCTTTACCATCTGACGTTCCAGATAAGGAAAAAAAGTTGTTTTACTTTCGGCTTTGGCACAGGGAGGGGAAATGCACGTTTGTTTAAAAAAAGCATTAAAAGCAAAAAATAAGCACAAAAAAAGTGCTTTAGAGAAAAAGTAAGCACCTATAAAAGCCTTTATATTTTATTTTCAAATATAAGGACTTATAAGCACTTGTAAGGGCCGCTACGAAGCCTGTTGATGTTGTTTAAACTGATATACACCGTGCAAGAACTTCTCAGAAATGCTGAGCTCCCACGCCAGCGGTCTTTTTACCTCTCCTCGTATGCACAAAATAAAGAACTTTTTTTCCAATACAGATTGTAAAAATGGATTTTTTCACAACGTCTGTACATATGTATATATATATATATATATATATTGTATATTTTAAGAACGATTAGCTGCAGAATATACTAAAATTTTGTATATGACACTACTCAAAAATGTAGTTGTGCACCTCCCTTTTTATTGCAATCAGCAGTATCCAACGTTTATATATACACACACACATCCCTGTATTCAGCTTAAAAGTCCTCATGTAACACTTATTTTCACAATTATTGGTTGTATACATATACTTCAATTTACAGAAATGTTTTGAATGTCGAAAATATTCCTGTTTTGGCAATGCCAAATTTAACATTAGTCACAGGTTACAGTAAGCATATAACAGTGGATGCCAGTTCAGATCCAAGGCCCCGAAACTTTGTTATTAAAATTATTTCCTTTGAACTAGCATATATAAAAATACTTACCACTCTATCACTGTAGGACTTTTTGAGCTTGGCCATCTGTGTTGTCATCTTGACACGGAAATGAATTTCATTAGAATCCTGTAAATATTATGTTTTCAAATATTTATATCATGTACAAAGTCTGGCATTCTTCCGTTATCGGGGACTGGATTCAGAAATGTGTACATACATAAACTGCACACACAAAAAAAGGGGCGACAGTTCTACATCTCCCGTTCTACTGGGCTGCTTGACGAAATTCAACTTGCGTTTTTCATGTCTCGAAAGCGTGACTCAGGATATGTATTAGATTTATATATAGCACTGTTTTAATATAGGTATTTTTACACAAAATCAGACTTTTCCTGAAATAACATACAAATGTTTTTCATATTTAGATTCTAGAACTCAAATTACGCTAAACTATTAAGTTTTATAAAAATTAGCCCTCAAAATTTTAGCTCCTCAATGTCAATTGAATATGACATATATTTTTTAATATTTCTTTTTTTATTAAACTTTACTCGATTCATTCTTCCAGAATTCGAAATTTTAGCTTAAACCAAATACAGTCAAAAGTCGTTAATTCGGACCTCAAGGCTAAAAAAATTTCTGCGCATGCGCCGCATTGACACATGCGCATAGGCGTTTACGCGTGCGCATAAGACCTTGACTACTGTGCATATGCGTCTGCGCAAGCGCAGAATACGTTTTCGCGTGCGCGTTTAACGTATAACGGACGGTTTAAGCTAAAATTATCTATTTCAGTTAATGTTGATGATTGCGTTGTTCCTTAATCTTTGAATTGGATGCGGCTTATTATTTTTTGCAGACTGTAAGAGCAATGTTATAAAAGTAAACTTGAACTTTCGATTATGTCAAATAGAATTTCCGATGCTGGAGCTCCCAAAGGATCTACAAAACGAAAGTATGTTTCGATGTCCATCAAACAAAAAGTGGAATTGCTGCAAAAAATGGATAAAGACATGAAGAAGGTGACAGAGAGGTTAGTGAAAATGAAAAAATTTCGATTGACAAGTTAGTCGGTATTCTCGGCACAGCAATTACGGGACTTTGAACAGCAGAACTTTGTAACTGAACAAGAAATTATGTCGGTTTATAGAATTAAAGAGAAAGTATCACATAAAACGAAACAACTTACATTGAAAGAAATGTTTAATAAAGTAAACAAATAAATATTAAGCCTTTTTTTTGTAAATTTTGATACCCTTTAGATCATAATTGTTCTTTATTTCATAAATTACAGTTTAATATTTTTAATTTTAGAATTTCTACATGCCATCTTACGAGATTTAAACTGATAATCTATAACCCGGAAAAATCGATAATCCGGAATCGCCGAAGTCCCGATGAGTCCGGATTAACGATTTTTGACTGTATAAGTTGCGCATTTTAAATTATTTATTATTATACTTTCTATTTTTTTATAAATTTTTCCAAAAATATTTGTATTATAACCTAAAAAAATTTTAACATCTTTAAGTAGATGTATTTCTAGGCACACTTGCAAAAAATTAATAGTTTTTCATTCAAAATTTTATAAGATATACGTGAATTTACATTCGGAGTGTTTTGAAATTTGGTAGTATTTGTTGAAAGCGATAATAACATCCAAATGCGGGTATAAGCACTTTGATAAAAACTATCTTGAAAGTATTATCAAAGTGACTATTTTTCCTCTCATACCACAATGTAAAAAGGGAAAGGAAAATAGGTTGCCGTATATTAAGAAGTTTTCCAAGTGCAAACTGAAAATTGGTTTAACTTGGCGCAAACTGAGAAAAAAAAAAAAAGCCAAGATAAATTTTTGAATTCCTCCGTAAATTTCGTATCAAATATTGCAAAATTTAATGTTTAGGCATAATTTGAGTCGTTAGAATCAAAATATGGAAAAAATTGGTATGGTTTTCAGAAAACGTCAGATTTTCTGTCAAAATACGTATGTTAGAACAATGCTATATATAAATCTAATACATATCTTAAGTCACGCTTTCGAGAATTTTAATTTTCGTTAATCGGATAAGTAAAAAGGGAGATGTAGAACTGTCCCTCCTTTTCCTCCACAGTGTATGGATGTATATGTGTGTACACAAACACATTGCTGAATCTTGTCCTGATAACAGAACAGTATGCAAAATCTTAACAGGCACTTTCAATGACTAATACAATACAAGTTATATCGGTACTCTTCTGTTTCGCCGGCACAAGCGATAAAGTCACCAATAACGGTACAACTGATGCCAAACGGAACCTTTTATGCCTCATTTTCAAAACAAGTCCCATCCATTTCTTATCAGATTGATTGTTTCTTTCACTACTGGCATACAATTACATAGAATTTTTACAAGATAGTTCAATTTTATGCGTTAAGGCCATTCACGTTAATTAAGTCAATTAGGACACAGTCACACCGTTCACGGTAATCAAGTCAATTAGGATGCAATCACACCGCTCACCCGAAAATATAGAAGGCAAAGTCAAGGGTTAAATTCATCAATTCTAATGAGAATGCACTAGTAAAGTAAAGCACTGCTTTTACCTAATTTCTGAGTAGCTATTCGTATCATTTGAAATATTCTTTCATTTAAACTTTATTCCAATTAGATTTAACTTGAAATTAATGCAGATAATTACCGAGAGAGATTTTTGTAGCGTAGTTTACATGAGATGAGATCATTTGAGGTCACGTGATATGAACCGGAGAATCAGGACGTTGAACCATAAAAGCATAGTAAATTCTTAAATTAATGTCTTTTTACAAATTTACTGTCTTTATTTATTGGCTTTTTACAAAATTTTAAACGATTTTAAAATGTTTTTGACTTCAAAATAAAAAAATTCTTAAGAACTTACATTTGTTAACATTTTTTATGTGTATACTGTATGTTGTCGGCCAATAGCGTCTGTTTGGCGAGATTTGCGCTGGCGAAACGGAAAAGTACCGTTACATCTTATAATAAAACACTGACATGAAACTCCTAGTAATTATGATTTAAACACAACAAAACCACTAACAAAATGAAACAGCAGAAAAGATAAAAGTCTACATACAACTTGGAAAGGGAGTTTGAAAAACAGCAACAAAATATTCAAACCTATAATTATATAATTATACATGCATTTTCAGAAGATATGAAAAGTATTCTTCATCTCAAGAAAAACATACGTTATAATTCAGTATCATCTTTAACATTGGAAAATACTCATAAGAACTTTGCACATAAATAGCTTGCAATCATAACAAGACAAATACTGTACAACATCCATATCTCTATCAAATTAAAACTTGTGATAATGATGTAGTATTGTGAACTATTAGCTTTATTTCACAGATGATGCTACTTAAATGCTATATTTAAATATGAAAATAAGTACAAATGCAGGGCATATAAATGAAAATAATTCCATTAATTTGAAAATCTATTAAATTTAGAATTCCATTAAAATTTTAATTATATTAAAATATCAGTCATTCAGGCATATGTATACACTACAAATATTGTACAGGTGATCAAAAAATAACTTTTATTAGTGATCTCAACAATGCTTCTGTGATATACCATGGAAACATTTGTGACATAGTATTTCACATGTTGCATAGAATCTTTAGTTTCAACAATTCAACTCTTAGGTATTAGTGCTGTCTGCAAGGGCTGCCTTTTTTTTTTTTGGGTGTGTGTGTGTGTGTGTGTATGTGGTTTTAGGTCAATTATGAACACAAAAATGGTATACAACATACTACTTCAATCCCAAACATGTTCTATAAATGAAGCTATGAACTGCTAACCTTATAAATAAATGGGTATTTTTTTCACAGAACACATGATAATGCATCAAATGCTATTTTAAACATAATTCTTCAACGTAAATTTCAAGAACTGTGCAAAATAAATAGATTTATACACAATACAACTCTTTAGAATTAGCTACTTTTGATTTAGAATTCATACGTTTTAAAAATAATCTAAGCTATTTTAATGTGGGATGACGCATACTTTATTATGTAACAACATACATGGGGTGTCAACACACTCCAAGCAATTAACTGATGTACAATTAAAACATTACAATTCCGTAAAAGAATGCATTCTATATTAGTTACAACATTTATTACATAAAATAGCTTAAAAATAATGTTAATTTTAAAATTAAACAAATGAATCAAAGTACCGTATTTGGCGGCATATAAGATGCACTTTTTTTTCCTAAATTTGGTCTCAAAAAAAGTTACCCGTGTCTTATACGTGAAGGACACAGGTTAACTTTCAATACTGAATGCTATTTTTAGCCCTGATAGAGGTCTAGACACACATAAACTTTTTCTACATCTACATGTGTGTGGCCTTCTAAATAAGGGTCGTCTTATATGCCAGTGCATCTTTTAGGCAGTCAAATACAGTACTTATTTTTTTCAGATGACTAGGAATCGTCAATTTCTATGAGAATTTTTTGTTTTTTTATTTGTGAATGCAATTATAACCCAAATTATGCAGAATTATTACATGAACAATGAGTTATATAATTAATTTTCAAATCAATTAGGTTCAAGAAGCATTACATATTTTGTAGTTTATACAAGAAGTTTCTATTTCACAGTGCACTTGGCATACGTTTTTTTAAACTTCACACATACAGTTTTTGATTTTCTTTTGCCCTTGGGCACATATAACATCTCTGGTAACATAATTTTCTTTCCTTCGTTTGTGGTTAATCAAGAGAATCTTCATTGTGTTGTGATTTCAAAATGAGGATCAAAAAGTGTAAAGGCCAAATCCTTCAAGTACCTCCTATTCCTGAAGCCATTTGATGAACATAAACGCAAGATCCTTGAATTTATATCGGCAATGTTTATTATCGAAAAAATATAACCAAAAGTCATTGGTCTAATATTCTAGGCGCAGAGTATGTACCACTCGTTTCGTTAACTATATCAACTGCTCCTTTTGTCATGTTATAAAATGCAATTACTTCGGATTTTTTCAACTCTCCTGTGCTTTCATCATTACGGCCATCATTGTGAATGGCTGACAAAAGGTTAACACATTTGTTCTTTTTTGCCATGTAAGAAAGTAGCATTA